CCCAGAGATGCCCTAGCCTCGAAAGATAGCCTACCCCTATTTATGGCTTGATTTGCTATATATATATATTTTTTTTTTAATTCCGAAAGATAGCCCACTTTTTGTAATAATAGTGTTGTAATCAATGATGGCCTCAGTGTAAATGCGTCTAGTTAGCTTTGGCAGGATATGAGTGAACGTTGCTGACTGGGAAGTGCAGTCATCTTTGCCTCGTTGCCCCTCGCCACCATAACAGGCTTGGAAGAGACATGACCTAAAGATAGCAATTTTTTAACTTTTCTTGATTGAACACCAAAAGTTAGCTCACCCCATATTTTCACCCGATTTGCTCTCGATGTTAGGTGAAGCTAAACTCAAGATTTTTACTATAAAAAAATAAAAAGTGAAATGTATAACTTTTTCTTTTTTAACAAACATATTGTGTGCTCACATGTTGCCAAAGAATAGGAGAGAGTTGGTCTCCATTCCTATATTATATACTATAGGCTTGTTGCAGCCATTGGTGTTAGAAATGCTGAAACTGGAGAAAAGAAAGACAACAGCTAGCACAAGAAGAAGTTGCAGCTGTGTTATGCTGTCTACCCCAATATTGGGACTATGAATTGTTACTGAACCAGCTGGCCCGCATAGTTTTCTTACTTTTCGTTGACATGCTGTCAAAGTGGCCTTGTTGCAAGCCTGCATGAAACTTTCTTTTTTCTGTCTTTGAGATAAATAGAAGTGCACAACAGTGTTCACTACACAATGTTTGCAGAATAAATGGCCACAAGACGATATGGGCGGTTTTTGTGAGTACACTCCTTCTATTGCAGAGCAGGTTTGGTGCCGAAATGCAGGATTGGCCTGTGCCATCTCGTTTCAATAGTAGTGCATGACACTGAAAATATTTGCTTTCAGCGCATACTTTTTTGTGTTTAATATGGAAGCTTAAGCATGTGCTGCAGCCTGCTCCACACCTAACAATATCACTCGCAAAGATCTCTGTTAACATTGGGCAGTCGAACCAGTCATTATTCCGGTTCGGTTCGGGTTCAGTAGCTTTGCATTTTGTACCGGTTCAATTCCAATTCTGTCATGCATTCGAAATAACGGTTCAGTTACCAGTTTCACCAAGCGTAGATCAATTCAAACCAGTTCTCCAAAAAAAAAGAAATCTACTATGCAGATGACGTGTTTAACACAACGTCATTGGCATAGTGGACTTTTAGCGCAGATGATGCTGTGTTCAACACAGCGTCATCTGCATTAAAAAAAAAGCTAGTCATCTGAAGCCATACTGCAGAAACGAGAACAGAAAAATAAATATACGCTTGTTTTGTGATCTTACCTTTTTGTTGCAAACATCATTTTATGCAAATTACGAGGTTATACCAAAGTACAGTACTCACATGTACTATCAAGGAAAAATGAAATACGAACAGAGGAGCGCGTGGCTCGCGGTACAGGCTGCGCCACCTGGAAGTGAGCCTAAGGGTGAGGCTGTGTGACCTACTCCCTTGTGTATATGCCCCTCTCTCGGCGCTTCCCAAGCTTCAGCATTGCGCCTCTCGGTGCGCTGAAAGCTATCACCGCTATCGTTGCTTGCTCGCCGCGTACGGCGCGAGAAAGGTCGCCGCTAGTAGCAGCTAGAGCGCGTGCTCCAGCTGCTACTAGTGGGAAGCTTCCTCGTGCTTCCCAAGCTTCGGCGCAGTGCCGAAGTTTGGGAAGCATCGAGCGAGGGGCGTATACACATGGGAGTAGGTCACACACCCTCACCCCTAGGCTCACTTCCAGGCGGCGCAGTCTGTACCACGAGCCACGCGCTCCTCTGTTTGCATTTCATTTTTCCCCGATAGTACAGTACTCACACAGCCAGCACGCATAGTGACGCTGTAACGGTAACCCACACCATACTCGCAAACTACCTACCCTGCACGCCCAAACGCCTTGCTCGAATGACTACAGCAAAAAGCAAAGGAAATATAAAGAAAAAAAAAAAAAAGATGCTGCTTTTGAAATGCATACTAAAAAAAAATTGTGTAGCAAACTGCTCGGCAATTGTGTCACACGTGAAGCTTTCCGGTATCGCTCCAGAATGTTACCGAGCCCGGCGCATATGCACTAGTCAGGTTTTAAAGCCTGGCAGTTTTCTAGAACCTCTCGTACTCACCTTGCCGGAATCGGCCAATCACCATTGATCATGTGACCTTTCCACCTGCCAGAAAACGTCAAGCTTCGCGGTCAAATTTTTGGGATTTACTAAATCTGGTGACACCCCCCTGACGAGCAAAGAATGTTTCACACGAGAAAGTTTCTTCAAGCAGCATTCACGGCTTTGCGCTGCTCTGGGCGATTGGTGTTCCTGTGCCGGACGCTGAAGTGTCACGCCCCTTTCAGCTTTTCCTTTTGGTGCCTCCAGATTTTGCCACCGCAGAACAAACATTCCGATAGCCGTCAAATTCGTGTTTTTATTTCTTTTTTTATGTTCGCTCTTTATTTCTTTGAAGAAAATCCTCGATAGGGGAAGTCAAATCCTTGATAGGAGAAGTCAAATTGATGTTCTTTTCTTGGACTTCAGCAAAGCTTTCGATAAGGTGCCTCATGAACAACTGCGTTTTAAACTTGAACAGCTTGGTCTTCCACATGGTTTTGTTAATTGGATTGCTGCATACTTATCACATTGCACACAGTCTGTTTCCGTCAGAGGTTGCATCTCTCCAGTTCTGCTTGTAACGTCAGGGTCCCCGAAGGGAGCGTTTTAGGTCCTCTTTTGTTCTTGGTGTACATAAACAATATTATATCAGTCATTGACGCAGGTGTCCATAAATGTTTTTTTGCAGACGATTGCATTATTTAAAAAAAATTAATTCGAGCTTGGATCAGCTATTGTTAGACCATAGTTTGCATTCCATTGTATCATGGTGCGATACCTGGAAATGAAGCTTAACTCTGCTAAATCAACACTTTTATGTATTACAAAAAAAGCAACCCTTTGAATACATTTATAATATCACGGACACCCCGGTTAATCTCGAGCAGGAATGTAAATATCTTGGTTTAGTTATACTGGACACACTTTTATGGTCTCCTCATATAAAACATATCTGTACCTCGGCCTCCAAGAAGTTGGGTTTCATTAGAAGAAAGTTGAAAGACGCTCCGATTCAGGTTAAGCTACATGCTTCTTATTCATTACTCAGATCCAAGTTGGAGTATGCAAATGTCGTTTGGGATCCATTCACGGAGGAAGATATCCGGAAGTTGGAGATGGTGCAACGTCGAGCGGTTCGATTTATTTACGGAAAGTATAAAAGGCTTAATTCACCGTCTCAACTTATACAGGCTAACGGAATACACACCCTTCAGGTCAGAAGGAAACTTGCTTGGTTGAAATTCTTGTTTCATCTTCAACAAGGACAGACTCACATAGACCCATTGCAATATATCTCCCCTTTAGCGTCAAGGATTACGCAACACAGACATCAGTTTACACTAACACCCATTTTTGCACGTACTAACATATTTAAGTTTAGCTTTTTCCCCCACACTATTAGCGACTGGAACAATTTACCTCTGGAACTTTTTACCGACACCAACTTTGTACAAGGTTTTGAACGTCTTGATAATTAGCATGTTTGCTTCGTACATTGCTCCACCTTCATCCTTTTCGCATATGGGCATTAAGATTGTATAAACCTTCATGTTACATCTGGATAAGTCATTTTGTATTAGTGCATGATTGAATTACATGCTGCTTGATGCTTGCTGTTCCCCCCCCCCCCCCCCTTTTTTTAAATATATATATCCTGTATATTTGCTAGTTAGTTGTTGTAAACCTTTTAATGTTGTGTTATTTGTTTGTTGTTGTATGTGTAAATGCATATGTTGTACCCCACTCCGACTTGGGCCTTCAATGGCCTGTAGTATCCTCTAAATAAAAAAAAATAAAAAAAGAATAATGCTTATACTCTGCTCACCCTTAAGCTGAGGCTGCAGCCAAAGCTACAAGCATGAGCTAGCCCGCACTCCTGGCTTTGAGACGCGCATTCCTAGAGCGAGTGCTCGTTCTGCGGAAGAACGCTTCAAAGAAGCGACCTTGAGCTCGCATGGTTGTGGTATTAGCTGCAGTCTCAGCATAAGAGTGAATGGGGTACTAGCAGCAAGAAAAGAACACCCACACAAAGAATTTTTAGCCCCTTAGAATATTTAGATTTCCTTCGTTTTTTACCTTATGATGTCCCACGATGGATGCTATGAGTTACCCAAGACAATTCATAGCTCATAGCGTGTCGCATGACTTCACACTTTCCACGTTGCACCACCCAGACGGAAGGGCACATGACACCCTCCAAGCTATAAATTGGCTCCAGTGGCTCACAGTGTCCTTTGCGGTTCATTGTAAAGTGAATCAAAATATAGAAACGTACGCCACCACGCCGACTTGCCGACCCCAAGTCGTGCTGCACATTGATGTGAAGTATTTTTGTTTGTTTCAATATTATTGAACTGTCTCCAGGTCACTTCCGTTTGTTTGACACCACCGTCGAGAATATTAAATGGACTTTTTGCTGCCAACCGTGAGAAGGCGCAGCGCACATTTTATTACGTCAAATCGTTTTCCAGTGGACCGAAAACTGCTACATGAGATTACGGCTCCATTCCGGTTTGGGTTCAATATCAAATACCTGATTTCGGTGACGATTTTGTTCCGGTTCGGTCGAATATAACGGTTTTGTTCCAGCTTTTGGTTCGGGTTTGGTCGTTTGACACCCTGGTTTACATGAAAATAGCTTTGGTGGTAGCCTCCAGGTTTGTAAGTAAATCTAAAGAAAGCGGTGATATGGTACTTTGCAGTTCGCAGTCTTGTAACCGTTCCATTTTTATGACCCATGACTTTGTAGAAAGGGGGGAGAAGCGCGATTGCCTCGTCCTCTATGACTGCCTTTCATTTATGACGTCTGTAAGCTCTGGGACCCGAGCCCGGGACGCCTGTGCTACAATTGTTGTTTCTATTTCTGCAGGAAAAAGCTGGAGCCTGTGCCAGGGTCCACCCAGGGCTCCCCAACTTTGCAGATCACTCATGTGAGCAGGGAGAACATTAAGTGAGTGCCCCTCAACTTTGCTTGCAGCATTGCCACAAGTGCATTGTTGGTGGATGACCTCGAGTCGGGTGGATTGCCTTCAGGGATAGCTCAGCATGGAGGGCTGAAAGGGGCAACCATCACTCAGGTGTCATCATGGCTGCCATTTTTAGTGCACGCACCGGGAGGGGAAGCTCACCTTTTCTCTTTTTTAATGAGCGTTCAGCTGATGTGTAAAAGACACATAGTGGGTTACAAAACAATCTTTGAATGTAGGTACCAAGGTAGAAAGTACATTTGGTTAGAGACGTATATGAAACCGACTTCCACATTCTGGCAATTTTAAATGTGATAGTTCATTCTAACTTCTTTTCCAACAGCTTAACATACCTGGGGCTCCCAGCATGGCTTTTGTGCCTCCCCGTCCTGAACACCGCTGGTCCAGCTCATATTGCCGCACCCCATACTTTTGATTAAACATGTGTTAGCACACTTTAGAGCACAATAGCTAGAACAAAAGACTGGAAAAACCACTTCTGACTTGTTAGTTAGCCTTAGCGACGCTGAATAGGGAGTCTCATGAGGGGTAGCAGACTATAGGGTGACTGAAATAACCAGGCTTATTTAAAATGGTCCATAAAAATCGGCACCTGCACATAGCAATTCAAACTTTTCGTCAAAGGTGTATTTCACGGGTCGGTTTTTTCTTGTAGAGTTACAAAGCGTAGCTCCTCTCCTGTAAGAAATAGGGCCAAAAAACTTGACAGGATCAACGGCAGACAGCTAGGCAGACGATCGAGTCGAGTGGCGGGGCATGTTTGAAGCACATATTGATAAATGACGTCGGGAGTAGCTTTGGAAGGTGTAGCCGACCAGGGGAAGAAAGCAAACGACACGCAGACAAAATCCGTCGGTAGCAAGCACGCTTTCGTTATTCAACCGGCTTTTTCTTTTTTACTTCAAGTTTTACTTTTATTGTCTGCATTAATTTTTAAACCAAATGTGCACTACAAAAAGGTTATGTTCATTTTAGTAGATTACGGTCGTCGCAAGCAGTTTTGATAAGGAGGTAGCGCCATGTATCAATATGTGCGCCAAACGCACATATTGATACATGCCGCTGCTCGACTCAGTCGTCTGTGTCGCCGTCTGCTGTTGACCCTGGCAAGATTTTTGGCCCTATTTCTTACAAAAAGGGAGCTATGTTTTGTAATTTTACAAGAAATAACCGACCTGTGAAAAATACCTTTGGCTAAATATTTAGATTTGTACGTGGAAGCACTGATTTTTACGGCCCATTTTAGGTTGTGCCTGGTTGTTTCAGTCACCCTATTCGCGACTCCAACTAACTATAGGTGGCGCCACTCATTTTCCAAAATGGCGGTTATAGTGAGGGTCGGAGATGCGTGCCGCTGCTGAGCCTGTCTAGTGTGCGGGCTTCACTGAGCGACACAAATTATTTCTGGCAATATGAAGAAGCTAGGGTGTTATGAGCGCTGGTCACCTCCTTATTCTGAAAACAAAAAGGGTGTTTACCGTAATACTTATTCCAGGAGACACGTTTTAATTCTGGAGCGAAACCGAAACTAACCACTATTTTGGATTTAATTTCTTAATATAGGTCTTAAATTTGGATTCTTTCTTAACTCAAGATGTTTGCCACATGGTAATTATTTAGTTAGACAAGTTGTTCGCAGAAACTTTATTTTGTGACATACATGTTCGATCCAGGCTGATATTTTTAGTTGTTGTAGTTGTTGAAAAAATCAGTGCTGATATTTGTGCGTTCTCGCTGCCTTTTCTCGCTCAGATAATTTCCATGGAAAATAATGAACTGCGGGCCTTTTAAGGGGTTTTGGGGTGTTTAGATGATTAATTTTTTTAACATTATTCCCAGCACAAGAATAAGAGAATAATTCCAATTTTTACAATAGGTCCACAAAACGTATAAAGTAACAAACGCTGTTCTCACTGCAACAACCCAAAGACGGAATCCGAGTCAGACAGCTGAAGTGTGTGTGTGTGTGTGTTTTATAGCAACGCGTGACACTTTATATTGCATTCAGTGTTTGACTGTTTGTCTGTCTTAAGAACGATGCCCGAGTTTTTCATATGCTAAAAAGAAAACAAAATTATACCTTTCTGGAAAGAGTATTATGGTTAAATAACATCATTTCGTGATCTTGGCATTAATTGGGGGCATGCATTGCCGCGATTTGTATCGATAATAATAATATTAAAACTCAGATTTTTTAATGCGTAATTTTTCAAGCTCTAATATAATTTGTTGCTTATGATCTAATTTCAAACGTGCGAACAAATATGGCAATCAAAAGTGTGGTCATTATCATCACTGGTGCTAATTGCAGCATTTTTAATTACCAAGTAATAAAATAAAAATGGTGTAAAATCAATTAAAACATTCTAGCTAATGTGAGAAATCCATGTAAAAATACATTAAGACTTTTGACAATCAGCAAAACGTCCAAAAGCGCCGCCAATATCCCTCCAAACCAAATGCCCAAAAATTAAAAAAAAAATTAAAAAAATTTTTTTTTTTTTTTTTTATAACATTTAGTTACTTCCATTTTTACGCTCCGTCGATTTGCCAATCTCAGCCTTTCCAGTTAGAAGGAACGCCTACCAGCTTGCACGTCTGCTCACTGCAGCACGTTTCGTTGACGTTGGAAGCCGGTGAAACAGTAGTGAGTTTTAGTATTGCGTATACGAGCGAACGCAAGCGCTGTGTGTTTGTGTTAGCCTTGCGTATTCCACCAGCGCGTGCACGGAGCCCGAAATTGCTGTCTTGGATGGTGCATGGCGATGAGGCGCACGCACAACGTGGGGCATGCAACTCTAATGCAAACACACACCGCTTGCGTTTGCTTCTATGCGCAATACTAAAACTCTCCAGTAAGGTACAATCCCACACTGACTACAGCACTACATTGGGACAGTGAAGAGCGTTGTTTGCATTCGGAAATGACATTTCGCGAGCCTTGATCGTGAGCAGTTCCGCCGTGCCCGCTGAGCAGGAGAATCGGTGGACCCTCACTAGAGCACTTCCCGTTTCCGCCGCGGAAGGGCGAGCGTGGAGCTGGAGACGCAAATATAAAATATGTACATTCGGTTTAGAATGCTACTTAGCCGTAATGCATTTTGTCAAATCTACTTTTGAGCAATGAAAAGCATGCAGTTTTCATATCATAACAGCCTGTTGGTGACTGTTGGGTTCCACACAATCAAAGTTAGTAAAAATTGTTTATAAAAATTAAAGCTTACCTGTAAAGGTTTTATAAATATCGCAGCAATATCACCTTGATGTTGGCACACAACTGGAAAAAAATGAAAATAGGTGAAGAGCAAAACCAAATAAAAAGATGAAACGGGAATGCTGACAGCACAAGTGTTGCAGCACTGACCAAAAAAGAAGAGGGAAGTAACCTTGGCACTGCTAAGTCAGCTGACTGACTGGAGAGCTGGTGGTAAGGGAAGCAAAAATGAAAAGGTGAAGCAGACTTTGTATTATGCTATTAAAAGTAAAAGAGCATGAAGAAACAAATATAGTCAGACTGCTCAAAGGAGAAGCACTGTTACCAAAAAACAGATGGACGATGCTGCAGGCATTGTCCAGAATAAGTAGAGGTGTTAGCGCAGGGGTGGCCAAGCTGACCCAGCCTAAGAGCCGCAAACGAAACCACGAAGCTTCCAAGAGCCAAAGGGGGGGTGGGGAGACTTTTGTTCGGAGCAATAAACGAAACCATAGGTGTTGGCTACGAGGGGGGGGGGGGGGGCATCGGGGCTTGTACCCCCCCCTGGCGAGATCTGGGGGGGCAGAGCCCCCCCCCCCCTCCAGGCCATGATCCTTACTTGTCTTGTTAATGAGCGTTTGACCTGATATTCTGTAGCCGCAGGCTTTATTTCCATGTATTAAAGAGAAAAGACTCGTAGCCGAGTGGATTGCTGCTTCAGAAGCACAGGGGCCTGGGTTCTACCCCCACAACTTTGCAGCTGGCACAAGCATTTTGTTTTTCAGATTCGTGCTCGCCGGCGCATGCGCCGTGGTACCGGCGAGGAACACACGGCTACGCTTGCACGGTGATTGACATTGACACACAGCGACGGACACATGGCGATATACATAAGCTGTAAAATGTACCCCCTAAAATAAACCGCTGATAATTGCTGGTGGAAAAAAAATTGCGCAGAAAAGCACTCCCCCCCCCAGGGAAATGGAAAGTCTACGCTGCTGAACGAAACTCAAACTATTTTCAATCTATCCGAGTCAAAAGCAGTCCAACTGTACGTAAGGTAACAATAACACACGACTACCAAATCGCAACCCGTCTTTCGATTTAAAACGCATTCCATTTCTCTTTTCGGGAAAGTGCTCATGTGGCCGAGAGGGAGGCGGGGAAAGGGGGGGGGGGTAGGGGAGGGAGTTGCGAGCCGCACTTTAACACGTGAAGAGTCGCATGTGGCTCGCGAGCCGCAGCTTGGCCACCCCTGTGTTAGCATGTGCTCAGTGCATAAAGAGAAGAGAATGAAAAATTTGCTTGCCGACAGGAAGGGAGGGTATTGAACCCAGAGCTGCGGCTAGTGAGCGGGTGGACAACTACTAAATTATCTACATTGTTATTGCACATTTTCTTCTTGCTACACATGACTCGTGAAGCAGAATGCAGGTGTTAAGGTGTTGTTTGTGATGATTCAAATATGAATTCATCCTGGGATATAGCTATGAAGTTTTTTAAGCATTGAGAAGCTTCTTTCCCCCGATAGCAGCGTATTGGTATCATGAAAACGCAAGTAGCATTTATACTCTGTCATCTCAAGAAAAAGCAGGCTTGGTGAATAGCTCATACGCTGCACGATGTAGTTATTACGAAGGTTTGGTTGCCGGAGAAAGAAGCAATTCTATTTGCCTGCAAAACATATAAGCAAGTTTCGATAAAACAGTACCGTGAACCTGTGCCCCTCAAGCGTATTGTTCTCTAGGCCCATTTTACTCTGCCCCACACTTCCCCAGCTACTTTTTGCCCCATCTTTGTCATAGTCCCATTTTTAACACAGAATATGTTTTATGAGCTGATTTCCAGGGCATTCTGTAACGTTCGGTTAAAACTTTCGGCTGTGACGACACCGAAAAGCGTTAACACCCATAGGGAACCATATAAAAATATTTTGGTTCTGCAGCAGTATTTGAACTTGACACCTTGATTGTGAGCCAAGTGCCTTACACTTGCATGCCATGCATATTTTCTTGGGAGGCCTGTCATACATTTCGTGTTACCCTTCTTTGTCAGCATGATCAACCTTGTATAACTTTCTTGTCACCACCCCATTTTTTTGTTATGGCCCCATTTTTTTTTTGTTACAGCCCCATTATTTTTTGTTACAGCCCCATTTTTTTTATCACTCCCCCATTCTTGTTGTAGCTTAATTTTTACTCAACTCCTTTTTGCCTCAGCTTCATTTTGCGTGGGAGTGGAATGGAGTGAAGAGGGCAGTAGACCTGTTTCACCTGGGCCTACGGTCCCTCTCACTCTCTACCGTCAAGCCCAGCTCCCCCCTCCCCCCCCATTGGGCCATGCTGAGCCCCGGCCCCCGTGTGCAGGTGCCCGAGCCCCACGCCTTCCAGCCCCAGCCAGAGTCCCCAGCTGGGTGTGCCCAGCGAGGCGAGCTCTGCACCCGTCGGGGGCGGACCCCCGGTCCTGGGCCTGTGCTCAGGCTCCGAGCCGTCCCTGGGCTCATCATGGCGGAGCAGCTCGTCCGAGGTCCAGGACGGGGTCCAGCCACCCCAGTTCCTGCTTGGGCTTGCGGAGAGCCAGGGCTCGCTGGACCGGGCCTCTGACTCTTCCGGAGGTCGCTCTCAGGTCTGTCCCTTTGCGGTGGCTGGATGCCTGTTGGTGCACCGAAATGTTCCTCCGAGCTTACTAGTACAGCGTTCATGCCAGATGAGACGGCGGTGCACCGGGTCCCGGAAGAAGGCCGACGAAGTGCCACCCGACACTTCCAATTTTCCGGACGGTTCTTCGCAAAACGTTTTCTTCTTCCCTTTGGTAGCATAAACAACCATAGACCCCCAAACCCCCTGCCCCCTGGGACAAAGAGAAGATGCTTTGTGCTGGTTTCAACCAGATGATTTTCTTTCTTTCCCATAAACCTGGTTAACTGCAAACACGATTTGGCCACTGATCAACTCTTATGTTGCTGGAAGCATTGCACTAGTGTTAAAAGGAACCCACTGTGTGGATGGATGGATAGACGTCAGTGACCAACGCTTTGTGTTGGGCAACACCTTGCCCCACTAAGCCTAGAAATAGTTACGCCTTCCTCCTTGTCAAGTTCTGTCTTTGTCAAGCTGTTTAAGCCGTTAATTTTTTTGTGCGAGAGTTTGCACAAAGTTGTTAATTTAGCCTGCAAGCATGTTTGCTTTCACCCATTCTACATTTATGCAAGTCACCAGTGCTGACTTTCAGTGAAAAACGCTTTACTGAAAGGCTGTCTTTTAAGTAAGGAGATTGTGCCTTGTGCTGTGGCAGAGTAAATTAAAGTTCCCTTTACTTAAGGGGTTTTGTCATATGCTATAATAGTGAGTCAGCATCAGCAATCATTGTAACTAGGAGTTTATTTCTTTTTCAAATTTGAGAATTTTTTTTTTTTTTCAGGGTTAATTTTTTCTTGCAGATTCAATGTTTTTTTTTTTGTGTGTAAGTTGGTTAAAAGGCAACTCCGCTCAATTCCGAAAATTTCGGAATAATTAGTGATTTTGCATTAAAAAGCCCTAGTACAAGACACTACGTCATTTGCTTCGCGAAAAATGGGATATGTATTTTTCAATCTAATTTTAAACACAAGCAGAAACAGACGGAGCCAAACTGAAACTTCGGCTCCGTCCGAAGATTCAGTTTCGATCACGTGGCTTGAAATTTCACGTGATTTTCTACACAATGATGGACGGGATTGGTGAAGAGCACGGTGCATCTGCACCATGCTCTTCACCACGTTTTGGTGTCTACGACATTCGACGATGTCTGCACAACTGCAGCATCAGTCTGCACACGTGGTATTCATAGTGTGGACGAAACTCCGAGAGACTAATCACAAAGGTTGAGACGACAATGGTGGTTGTGATGTGGGAGGCGGCGGGAATGCGGCGCGGTGGCTCCCAAGAAGCGCACTGTGTAGACGCACAGTGCGCTCAGCGGTGTCCACGTGATTGGCGTAATGCCAATCATGGGGACATTGCTAAGCGCAGAGAAGAAACATTGCTGACGTCACCCGTTATGCTTGCCCGGAGAAGTAAAAACAAGCAAAAGGGCAGGCAATGGTGATGATGTTTAGCTCAATGTTAGCTATGGCTATGCCGTAGCCTTGACTGCGCTGTTGGTTGCGCCTCAATTTGTTTGCTCTATAGTCAGCCAATTTCGGCAACTTGGCAAGTTGCAAAGCTTGCCAGACCATTTAAGGTTTTAGACAGAACTACGTCATAATATTTGACGTGTGGTCTTCCTAGGTGATACTGAAAACAACTGCATTGTTTAAAAAAAAAGAATGAAGCAAAGTTTCCCTTTAAGTTATAAGCAATTTACACAAAAAACACTAAATTCAAAAAAAAAAAAAAAAAAAAAACTATGTTGAAAAAAAAAAGTAACTCTGAAAACGCGGAACCCTAATTATAACATACCATGAAGCAGTTGCAACTCTCCCAGTACTCTGTAGTCAGTGACATATCAAAGGCTCAGTAAATTCTCTGCACAAGCTTCTTGCCTTCGATGACTCTTTGGCGCATGTTCAGCCTGGCAGAAGACAGCGAGCAAGTGCTGCAGGCAGAGCTTCTACTGCATTCTTAACCTTTCACTGAATGAATGTAGATAGATCTAAGCAGCAGAATAAAAGAAAAAGAGTGTGCAAAGCTTCTTTCTACATACTTTTTCTTGACGGGGAAAGAGCGAGAGAGCTGAGGCCCCCCTCAACCACCTTCTCCTTTTTACTCAGTAGTGTGGAGCCTCAGCCCCATTTAAGTCGTGCTAGCTTTACTCGCATTGCACAAAAGAGCCGACTTGGAGTACACCTTTCCACATCTTCTGTGTTGGTTACAGTCCTCGCCCGACCTCAACTCTGAAAACTTTGTGATCACAAAAGCTTATGTAACGTGATCACAAAAGCTTTAATTGTATTTGGTTTTTGGGTAAGAAACAGCAGGGAAATAACTACTGTGCAGGAAAGTACTTCCTGCATAAAAATTAGTGTTTATTTTTTTTTTCCTGTCTTGTCAGGTTATTGTCAATCTGCACAATTTGGAGAAAAAAAAATGGGGAAAAGGGGTGGCATTTGCATTTGAGCCAGTAAATGATTGTGGGGTTTGTCGTTTGAAGCTGTTTACACGATAACTTAATTTTCTGTGTTTTCAAAGAGTGTCTACAGAAGCTTGTAAGAGTGTTGATAATTTCTTGTTTAGGCACAAAGCAGTTTTCCAGATACGAGATAATGCAAAGACTTCCAAGTGTCGTATATCTTGCTTCTTTTTCTTTACTCCTTTCTTCCATCTTTTTTTTTTCCTTTATTCCCGAGAAAGCAGACTTTGAGATTGCATCAAATGTACACAATAGCTTAGCACCACATCAACGCAACCACTGCTAAGGATCGTTTGTTTTTCATTTTTTTTTCAATCCCTTCAAACCATCATTAAGCTCCACTGTTTGTTTCCAGTCCCAGCCATTTCCTTTGGGATTCAGGGTCAACAGCCCCCCCCCCCTCCCCCCTCTCGCCCTTCCTGTCAACTTAAACTCCCTCCAACTTCCTTCTTTGTAATCATCACCACAACAAATTTGTCCTTCCTCCAACCCAGAGGGATGGACTCCTCACCATGAAACACCCTTTTCAAATATCCCCCACAAGAATGGCAACACCAGTTTGACTTATTGGACACCTTTCTTCAATTTGAAATTTTTTTTTTAAGCATTTCCTCTATAATGTTTTTGAAGAAGGACAACCTTAAACTCTTTTCTTCTTTTTTTCTTTGTCTTCCACTGAAGCTTTTTTTTTTTTTTTTTTAATTCGGATTTGCATTATTGTAATGCAGATTAGAAGTTTATAGTTCTGACCAAATTTACATAGAGCACTTGGAAATTCATTTATAATATTTTGAACACTCGTGCCAAAATCTTGACCTGAAGCACTTGAGATGATTGATTTTTCTCACATTAAGTAAGTAGGAGTTGTGATTGTGTCGTCCTTTTTGATTTCTGAGGTTTGTTCTGAATAATCATCATTTTAAATGTATGAGCTGTTTCTTAATTAGCATACTGCAGTTGAATTTTTAACTAGATATTTATGTTGATCACCTCATTCTTTACTAAATAAATGCAAAATTATAGGCATCAACAATGTGATTACAGTTTAATAGGACCTTTTCAAATTCTATTACAATTTATGGCAAAGTACTAAGCATGGTGGCAATCACAAGGTTGTCAAAATTAAAAATGTCTATCAAGATAGAAAAAAAAAAAGAAAATGAAGCACACTGTCTTTGCAATGAAACTGCTTTCTTTCTACTAGTTCAGAAAGAAAAAGAAAAAAAAAATCAGAAAGGTCATCTTCAACATTAAATAGAAAACATGATTTTCCTTTATTTATTTGAGACTCAGTATCTTTGAGATCTGCTCTTACAAAAAGAAGTGTCTTGAGCATTTGACTAAAAACCCAGAGACTAGAACGAGAAGGGACAAACAAAGTCTTAAGATTGAGACTTTGTGTTGGTTGGTCCTTTCTCGTCCAAGTCTCAGAGTAGTCAGATGTTTAACCACCAACAGCTTGTTTGCGCCCTAAACTTTTGTCTCAAGCATGCAGTTTCTATAGGGTGGCCATTGCTCATATCTTATTTATATCAAATCTGATCAAAGTGCCCTATGATTACACTTCGTTTATGCAGACCGGTACAGCTACTTCGTGTAAGGTAGCGATTGTTCAAACAAACGTCTGGGTCCTTCCAGTTTTAGCCATGCTTTTTTGTCATCAATATCTTAGTTAAGTGCTGTCTTTCAAGGACGTTTTTCTTCTTATCATTCTGCAGTTGGAACAGCTCTGCTAGTGTATGAGGCTGCCTATCTGTTCGCTGGTGATTGCAGTAGAGCGGAGAAGATTATCATCCACTCATAGTTATCTGCCAGTTCCTTGACCCAGCCATGTGATTGGGATTGCTTTGGAAGAGGAGCACTGGCACTTGTTAAAGAGAAAAGAAATTGTAGATTGTAGGTTCCCAAAAGAATGCAAGTAAGGTTAGTAACTTCTATAGCTTTTGTGAAGAACCAAGCAGACTATTTTGTGACATTTGAATATATAATAAGATTGAGGTTTGATACCTGTCGCAATAGTCTTGCGCAAAGTTGAGACGATGACCCTGCAGTTGGTTCCAGGACATTTCATTGAACGCCGTTTCATCAAAAGCTGTTTTATTGAACGCCGTTTCATAGAAAAAAAAAGGATATTTCATCAAATGCCGTTTCACTGAGTGCCGTTTCATAGAACGCCGTTTCATTGAACACCGTTTCATTCAACACCGTTTCATTGAACACCGTTTCATTGAATGCCATTTCATTGAACGCCGTTTCATTTAATGCCATTTCATCTAACGCCGTTTCATTGAACGCCGTTTCATTGAACGCCGTTTTATTGAACGCCGTTTCATTGAACGCTGTTTCATTGAACGCCGTTTCATTGAGCTGCTGACGGCCGTTTCATTTAATATTTTTATCGCTAGTTTTTTAAGTGTGGTATGTTATGAAAATGTATAGGGCGCCTTCCTACAAGTTAATCAACTTGCCCAGCAACTCATTTTGGTTCAATTCCTTTCTTCTACAATGGGCTTTGTACAGTGTTTCTCTCCTCTGGACCCCGTTTACATCTTTCTTCCCTTTTACTACCTCTTCATTAAAACCTCAGTTGTAAGTCAGCGCTCTTTCCTTCCTGGTGTCTCTTCCTTCCTTATCTTATTTGCGCTGTTTAAGTCAATATGTCTAACCAACTCGCCCAGCAACTCATTTTGGTACAATTCCTACAGGGGTCTTTTGTCGGTTGATGACAACCCTTATGTTTTATCGCCCATTCCTTTTCTGTGCTTTTGAACTCTCGTGGCGTTTGTTTAATTAAAGGGTGACACTTTCCTTGTAGCCCATATTTTGTTTTGATTATCTTTAATTTGCTCAAAGGAAAAAAAAACTAAGTGTAGCCATGCTTATCGCTGAACTTGAGGACGTTCGATCAGTGAAGACACCGCCAGTGGTTTAACTCAGGATGCCAAGGATGATGCCAAGAAATTGAATGCCCGCTACGCAGTGAACTGTTTGTACACCAAACAACAGTGCACTGTGCCAACCTTCAGTGTGAACCGAAGATTCACATGCATAGTGCTGTTATCAACAGTTCAGTGACTGTGGATCTGGAGTCACACTTGCCTAGAAGTACATTGCACCATCCAAACTGTCTGTGTTTGAGTGGCAAGAGGGACCAGTCGAGAGAGCAGCAGGACCCATCACACCCCGCATGCACCTAAAGAGAGGGCAGGCACGTCGATAATCTAGAGACAGCATAGGGACCACTGCTTCAAAATCGCCCTAGGATACGTGTTGGTTGCTGGCTTCGTGTATAGGCAATGACGATAGCTACGCACACCCACGGACCCGCGTCTGTTTTACCTTGAATTCTATGCCATCTTGTAAAGACGAACTGTTAAACAAAAGCCTCTGACTGGGAAACTACTGCGCATAACTACCGATTCAAAGAGGTTCTAAACATAGTTTCGGTCTTCAAGGTCAAGTATGACTTTCGAGGTGAGCTAGAAAGAGGGCAATCAGTTTGTCAAGTCATTCCATTAGTTGTTTTTTTTTCTATCGCTTTTATAGTATAGCAAAGAAAGGCCACCTATATTTCGTTTCGCCACAATCCAAAGTGCAGCCGAGGCTATGACCAATGGAGCCCAAACGAGGAGCGCAATAAATGCAATGTCACGACATTTGTCATCCTTCTGTGCATGTACTATCTTCGATCAAACCAACCAAGCGCAAAATATGCACGCGGACTCTGTAATCTTTGGAATCTTCATTGAAACATTCATCAGCCCAAAAACCCGACAAAATATAATCATCTTTGCAAACGCAAGAAAAAAAAAAAAAAATTAAAAGGATAGAAGTGATAAATCAGAAATTATAAAAACATTACACTTCGCAACAATGAGGGTATGAAAAATGTCACGTGAGTTCATTGTTGCATACTTGAATTTCTGAAAGCTATTTTACTTTGAATAAACCATTCAATGAAACAGCATTCAATGAAATGGTTTTAAACGGCTTCGATGAAATGGCATTCAGTGAGCATTCAATAAAATGTCCGGTCCCACCTGCAGTTTATCTGTCCTGCATAAAAAGGCTTTGCTGTAGGTGGGGTATTTTGAACTTTTTTGAGTTTATTTGTGATGTGGCTGAAAATGCTTATCTAGAAAAGAAACGGAACACAAAAGTAGCAAAGGCTGGTTTGAAAAACTTGAAAAGGGGGTCTTGTAATGGATGTCAGAATATCAGCCATTGTTCTAATGAGAATCTTTGCTTTTAGTGAAGTATTTTGCCTTACCTTTTTCTATTCAAAAACAGATGCATGGCAAGACATGTTTTATGTTGGGGTTAAGAGAAAGTAATGGCACTGCCATCTCTGAGCTTAGGCAAACTTGCACTGTTCATCCATCCCATTTTGCTTGGGCAATAAACTCTTTTCATTGCCATTGCTGACTTTTTTTATTGCTAATTCTTACCCTCCAATGTTACTGAAAATAAAGCTTCTTTTTGCTTTATCTTTTTTAATTTTATTTTTGTTATATGCATGTCTAGGCATATAAGGTGAATTGGAATGATTGTTGGGATTTCTGTGAGCTATAATTTTCAAACTGGAAACAACAAGATAAAATGCTTATGGAATCCACAAGTGTAACTGAAAGAGCTTTATCACCTCCTAATTGCAAAGAAGCCTGTCTAGTTAATTTTTTGGGGCTTTTTGAAATTTCTTTTTAATTCAATCAACTCTTTTCTGCAAAGTGCTCTGTCTTCCTGTTACTGCTCAACACTACCAGTTTCTTGAAATTGCTTTTTATTCAGTGTCAGATAGCATTATCTAAGGGTGGATCTTTTCACTAAAGAGTTTCATAAGGACACTGCATTTGATAACAAACTTTGCTCCGAGAGACCAAGGTGCACCAATTGCTTTCTCTCGAGCAGTCGGCCCTTTAGAATACGACATCATATTTTCATACATGCAATAATGAGGCAAATGCAGTATTGCTAAGTAAAGCTTGTTGAGTTTCTTTTGTATTCTTTCATATTTTGTTGCTTCCGGTTTAAAAATTATAAATAGGATTCCGTTTTTTTGTTTTGCTTTGTTTTTTTTAATTGTGAATGTTTCTTCTGGTTTTACCTTTTCTCACTGATGTGGTATTTTTAGTGTAAATGCAGTGGCAGAAAAAGAACAAACAATTGCCATTTATCGGGTAACAATGTGGAAGAAAACGGGATATGGTCGTGCCCAAGCTCTTGAGAACATGCACGTGACCGTGACCAGGGACCCAAGTACTTGAAAAATGCCAGGGTACTGATAAGACAAGGGAACGTGATAAGCAATGTGGTTCCCTAAACAAAGAGGCAGCCTCCTGGACAGTTCAGTGTGGGCAGCGTTCTTATTCAGCGCAAAATAAAGTTGTAGATAAAGATCCCTTTCATGAAGCTCAAGTATTTCTTTGTCAAAAACAGCCCCAATTTTTTTTTTTTTTTTTATGGGGGGGGGGGGGGGGGGGGGTTACCTGATTTTTTTTATAAAGCCAGTTCGGGTTTAATTGGTACTCACCGAACGAGAACACAGAACTCTAGTTATAGGCAGGATTCTGTGTTTTCTGAGTTTATTTCTTGTGAAATTTGGAGGGTGTTTTTTCTGAGTTTATTTTCCGCTGAAAAATCAGGGTTTATTGGAGTTTATTTTTGTTAGATTTCCAATTCTCTGAAATTCAAGGTTTAATTTTACTCTTTTTTCAGTTTTTCAAAATTCAAAGTAAAAAAGAAAAGACAGACTTAAAGATACTCTAAATTAATTAGAACTCACCTGTATAGTATGATATATCTGCATCTGCATTTGGCTTTGGTGCTTTGCCATTTTCAATACTAACTATCCCACAATGAATATTGCAAAGAAGTGTTGCCTCAATACCAGTCGCTACTTTGAAATAATGAAACTCTTGGATGTAGTCCCTGGGAAGCATGGAAGCCCAGCTGACCTCCCACTCCATTGAAATATATGGTTTTATAGCTATCACTGTTCCAAAAATACTACCCCTTCTTCCTCTGAAAAGCACACAAATTGTCAGTAGTCCAAGATTTCAAAGGAAACTAAAGTGCCCCTTCCTTAAAACCACTGACCCTGTGCGTTTCTAAATTTTGTTTGTAATTTATTTTGCCACTGTGAACTCGAAATTTTGAGTTTTTCTGATAAATTTGAACTGAGAAACATTTTACCGGCGAGTGTTCTTAAAATTTTTTCGGATGTGTACGAAAACACGGAACCCTAGTTATAGGCCATGGAAACCACAACGATAACTTAGAATCACCTTGTATTGTGACTATGGTCTGGAGCCTTTTTCAAACAGTAAAGTAATGTGTGCTGACATAGAAAGTGATCATAACTGGGGTGACTCGGAGTTCTTTCTGGCACATGGATATGGTTGGAGAATAATTGCTGTGCAGTCTACAGTGCTGCGCTTTACGGCTCTACAGCATGATAGTTACTTGTGCCACCTGTGGCTCAGTGTTTCTCGGTGTTCGACGAGCGACTGAGCTCAAAGGGAACTTGTACAGGCCCCGGCCAGCACAGACGGCGCAGTGGTGGTCCTGAGGCCGAGCCCGGACCCCATGGGGGGACCCAAGGAGCGGTTGGACCCCATGTGCCGCAGTTTCGACCGCTCGGATCCCCTGAACAAGAGTGACAAGTCCTCCAAGCTCCTGGAGAAGAAGAAGAAAACTTCATCCTGGTACAATGTGAGTGCTAAAAATGCATCGGCCTCCCAGTAGAGGGAGATTGTTTGGTTGGGTTTTAAGGTGAAACCTTTATATGCCCCAGTATGGGAAAAGGCGTCGGCGTTGTTCCCGAAAGATAGCCATAAAAATATTTCATCAAGGTCAAAGCAGACACGCCTCAGCAATAAAACATAAAGAAAAGCACAACAACGCAGATGCTTTGTCACGGAAGCTGTGAAGCCAGCTGGGATGCCGCACCTACGCACCACTCAAGGTCAAAGCAGACATGCGTCAGAAATAAAACACAAAGAAAAGCACAGCAACATAGATGTTTTGTCAAGGAAGCCGAGAAGCCGGCGGGGCCGCCGCGCCTGCGCAGTGAGGGAGTGGGATGTCACCTTTGGACTATAACGCTTTTGCATTCTTACACATAAGCAACCTTAATTGCATTCGGCGTGTTTCTTTTTTTTTTTTTTTATCTATTCGCAGCTTTTGTGAAAGCAATGCCGTGTAGCAGCAACACAGAAAGAGAATCTTTTCCCCACGGCTGTCTGCTTTCGCTGCCTGGTTTTTGTAGGCAACATAGTTTCACGTGCTTCTTTATTAAGATCAACTAAATAATCACAGTTCAGCAGAGCCACAGTAAGATAACGGATGAGCAAGGACGTGAAAGCTGCTTAATGGTTTGCAATTTTCTTTGTCTGCGAGATGAAAATGTTCTTGTCCGAAACCTGTTTGGAAACCCATTGACAGGAGTAGATTTGTAAAGTAAAGATTACCACAAACATTGCTTCACCAAAAGAGTAAAGTAAAGGAGTGCTTTGAAACCATGCATTTTTAATTTGTGTATCAGAAATAATATCAGAACCCTAGGCATTTAGAACATCAGCCAATTAGGATGTTATTACTCATACTTCCAAATGTTGTCATGATGGCACAATGAGAGTCATTCAAGTCCATGGTTGCACCGCCATAGACTACTGCAATAACCCGACAGATAGCCCACCTAAAATTGAAAGCAGATCAGGCGAAAATAAGGAGCGGGCCGGCTTTCGGTGTGCAAGGAAAAAAGGTTGAAAGAATGCCAGTTTTAGATTTTGTGACCTGCGAAACTTGTAGTTGCAGGGAGGGGCTATGAACCAAAGATGACTGTCCTTCCCAATCAGCTACGTTCGCTTATCTCCTGCCATGGCTAAGTAACATTATTTCTGCCGAGTTCACCATTGGCCAGGGCCCTGCAATTACTAGAAGTGAGCTTTCGGTGTTTTTTGAAAAAAAAATAGCAAATCGTGCCAAAAATAGGGGTGGGTTACCTTTCGGGACATTGCGGTAAATTATGCGAAGTCCTCATTTTCTCACGTTACCTACTACTCTCAAAATATTGGTCATGCTAAATTTCCCCATTGCAAAAACAGTATCAAGACTTTCTGTTTCGTTCAGCATAAGCGCACATCGCACACACACATTCATATGATTGTGTGTAACTCTGTGTAGGTTCCTTTTTAATAATATCTGAAGTATTATACCCAAGTCATAAGTTGTAACGCAGGCCTATGTCAACAACTTTATTCCACGCTTTCTCCGACATTTCTTGCCAGATTGTAGTGGGGACACATTTCACCTTCACAATCCAGAGAGTCCTCGACATAACTGCCAAAATCACGCTTTCATTTGCTAACACTAGAGAATGTTTGCTGTAGACATATGATCCTGCTGATCCTGTAGAACTGGGGCATGGCAACCTGATTGTGGGCAGCCCCAACGTTTCCTCTATCTCAGGTGATAAGATATAGCTTCTTCACTTTTCCTTGGGCTGGTGGCGGTCATCACGGCCAAAGTGGTGGTGGTCACAAGTCGTTTGTATCCTAAAATTACTTGTGCTACGAAATTTTACAAACCTGATGCAGCAGGCATTAGGTTTGTAAAATTGCTTCTTTGAAACTTGAACTCAAGAATGACGTTCAAAGTTCATTAGACAGAGCCAACGTATACCCTTATCCGCACTTTGACGTCCTTCCAGAAGACAATACTTGGTTCTTTTACAATAGCTTGCCACTCTACGAAAAGGCTTGCGTGTTCTTGAAGCGCCTTCCACCTTGTGAAATTTTGTGCCCTCAAAATATGTAAACCAAAAATCAAACTTTTACCAAATCAGTGAATCGATCTGATGAAAGAAAACAATTTTGATTGCAGTAATTATTTTTTAGGGTGCCACCACATCACTCTTAGGCACTGACTAGTTCAAGGTTCTTGTCATCGAAAAAGAATTTTTCTTTTATATTGATTGTTAATTCGACGTTGCTACGTAAGAAATTTAAGATGTTTTACATGCAGAATGATTAAGTCAAATGCTTTCTTCCTCCATTTTACCTTAACAGTGCACTTGCTTTAAGTTGCAGGAATTGTGAATAAGGAAGGGGATTAGTGATAGGAACAGTTTTGATGCTACGAGACTGAAGAAACAACACAGGGTTATTCTATATTTCACTTCTGATGCTAGCTGCTATTGGGCCAATATTTGTGACCTCGTCTTGTAAACAAAACCACTACATTATCCTATTAATAGGTTTAATCATAAAGCGTAGCTGGCATACTAAGATATCTACAATGCACACAGGTTGCACAGACCGTGGAAACTTGGGATGGGTACTCAACATGTGGAGGTGCAAATTAGAAAAATATTTTTGGACAAAGAGGTTAGCACGTTTGTAACAAAAATAATTTGAATTCTTTGTTTTGTCTGTCAGGTCTCCATCCTTAGAAATAAATACCGAGCGGTGGCCTGACACATACACGTGCAAAGAGTACTAACATGGCTTCTTCTCACCCAGCTTTCTAATATCCCATCCTTGTTAAATGAAGCGAGGGAGTGCTAGTGATCTGTATTGGCTCAGGCGAGTTATATAAAGGCAACGGCAAGCTTGTACTACAGAGGCCTACAGGGCTGTGCATCCGAGTCCCAGGACCCAATAATCACTCACACAACTTATACTTCTCCCTGTCATCTCAAGCCGGCAACTAACCTGGTACTGGGGAAGGTGGGATCGGGCTGCTGTCCAAATCAAGTAGCCTCTCTAAAGATTGAGCACCTTTTTTCTTTGCTCTAACAGTCCTCTGGTCCCCTGGCGCAGATGCTGAACCCCACATACAAGTCGAGGAGTGAAGACTTCAAGAAGCTCTTCAGGGACCTGCCTGAAACAGAGAGGCTCATCGTAGGTAGGTGCAGCCCCAGACTTCCAGGCTCTATAGCTGATAGGGCTGACACCATTTAACCCTTTGACGGTCGTTGCCATACATGAATGGCAGTGTTTGCACATTTGAAAGTTTCCACCTAAATGTGAAATTGCGTGCTCCCTGAGAGGTGCTGGTTTGTAATGTTTTTGGGGAACTAAGTTATTGTGTTCACACGCAATTTCACCTTGCTCGGGCTAGTAGTATATATAGTTTTCTAAATTACATACTTTGTGCGCGGGATATTCACGAGATGGCCCCAGTGTACGTGATACACATGATATGGTGAAATGGTTGCTTTGTGTGTCAGGTGTTCTGGCGGTGGTGGCTGTCGAATTCAGCTCAGAATTTAATTCGGAGGATGAGAGCTCATCCTCCAGTAAAGAAGCTCTGTGAAGTGCCTTTGTTCAGAGTCTGATTTGGAATGTTGCGGAGGTAGATGCACCAAAATTAAACCAAATGAAGGAAAGGTGACATCAAAGTGTATAGCTTGGAAAGCCTTCCAAAAAAAGTGTGATTAGTTCAATATCTTCATGGTGGATTATCCATTCAGTTGGGATAGCGAGAGAACAAAAGGAAGAATTCTTGTAGCCATGGCGCCACTTGAGGCATATAGAGCATTATGAGAAGGTTATGATGATGATGTAATTCATGAGGGAGAGAAGGTTCATCCTGTTTTGCCAACCACTGACCATTTTACAGCCCCTTTAAAACAACATCATTGATTACGAGGTGTTATCAAAAACCATCTAATTGTTTCCTATTGTTTGCAAGGGACAGCTTGTGAGAATCTCTTTGTTTAAGAAATGTAATTTTTATTGTGGCAAAGTTTGTTCCGATTGGATTTTGTTGCAACTTAAGGTAGGAGCTGTGCTGTATGTAAGATTTTCAGTTGATGGTACCAGCAGTATTTGTATGTTTACTAGCAGTGTGAGGGCCCTTCTCAGTCTTTTGCAGTGCACTTCATGGGGACTTTCTCCTCTTTACTGCAATGAAATTATATGTGTATCTATGTTAGGTACAGATGCCCACCTGCTTGTTGATGAGAGGGGTTTTGAAAAAATGCTCTTTAGGCTTGAGATAGGAGACGATTGGAAAGCAGTTGTTGAAGAACAAAATATCTGCTAGTGTGCATACTCTTGAGTGTGCACATTAGCAGAAGAGTTCAATTGTTTAGCACTATAGTGTTGATTGAATCATCCTAAATTGTTGTTATGCCTTTCTTTCGTTACAGATTACTCATGTGCTCTTCAGAGGGACATTCTGGTCCATGGGCGCCTGTACGTCACTCAAAACTTTATTTGCTTTTATGCCAATATCTTCAGGTGGGAAACCAATGTAAGTCCTTTTTATATTTTTCTTTTTGGTTCCACCTTGCATTCTGTTGCCGTGGATTTTTTAGTTCAGTATGGAAAGTGCCGTTGTGTTGTACTCTGAGACACAATATTGAATCTTATTGGGCAGGAGAAAGAAGAGGAACATAACTACGACAATAAAATAAATAAACACACTCTCTCTGTGTAGTAAAATGTTAAGGCCCGTTCACACGATGCATTTTTCTCGCGCATCTTACGGCGCGAATGGTTGCGCCGTCTGAACAAGTCTGAAAAGGACGCGTGCATCTAAAAAAAGTTGCGCGCACACCTCGCTTCTGGAGCGAGCTTTTGCTGAAACTTTACTGAGTTTTGTCAATCACTCTGAGGGCGCCGCCAATGCCTCTGCAGGCGAGCTCTTAGAATGTGGCCGCCAATGCCGCCACATTCTAAGAGCTTGCCTGCGTTTTGACTCTTAGAATGTGGCGGGAGATGGAGAACACGACGCTGAATGGCTAATGGTGATGATGATGATGTTGGCTTTCAACTGAAGCGCCACTTTATGGTCAACACCCAAACTATTTTCGCGAGTCTAAACGTCATTGTTGTTGCACGTAGAGCGCTACGTGTAAACAAACACATTTCGCGAAACTTGAGTTTCGCGAAACTGTTGCGCGCCTAAAAAATGCATTGTGTGAACAGATCTTTAGTTCAGCTCACATGCTTCAGAGTAGAAAGCATTGGCAGATGACCTTGCATAAAGTTTTAAGGCTCATTTGCTCTATCTAAATAAATGTAGATTGAGATATACTGTCATGACCGTTTATAACGAAGTCAGTTATAACGAAATAGTGGCTATAGCGAAGCAATCAGGATTTCCCATTGCCATTTGCATACTATCAATGTATTTGTGTCTGTTTTAATCGAAGGAATTTGAGCAGCTCCCGCGGATAACGCAAAGAGAAATTTTGGGATAATTTAAAAGATACTAAAATTCGTTAAGTTTACCAAGTGGCAGACTGCCGTGCTTTGCTGCCGCAGCCGAGCAGCCACCCAGAACGGACCGCAGACGTGCTGCGTCGTTGTCTGTTCCCCTCCCCTTATCTGGGAAGCGGCTTCTCTGCATTGCACGTGGAGAAGCCGTCGTGGCGCGCCGATGTTCGGAGCGCTAGTGACAATCTACCAACGACGGAGACGACGAAGAGAGCTCGGATATAAGCGAGGGAGCAACTCCAACCATGGAGAGCATTTGCAATATAATGGCGGATGTATCCTTTGCAGATTGCCACAACATTTGGTTTTCTCGTGGCCAGCGTGGCAAGGAAATCGGGCGGAAAGGCGAACACATTTGCAGGCGGTGAATGCTTTCGACTCCTTGCAGTATGCAGCTTGTGCAAACATGGTCCATAAACTATGTGACCCTAATGGCGCAGTTGCCCCCTCTTTCAAATCTGGGCTCTCTATACTGACGAAATATGAACTTAAGCTTGAGTGCAAACCCGGTGCCGTGCGCGCTTCTGTTTGCACCATGTTCTGTGCCGGCATCGCTAGTTGGTGTGGTCTATAAGGGCGAAACACGAACTTGAGCGCGAACTCGGTGCCATGCCTGCTTCTTTGTTTACTTCGTGTTCCGCGCCGGCGTCACTAGTCGCTTTGGTCGCTTTCTGCGTGAAAGTCTAGCGGTCTAGCTTCCCTCAAGCACCGATTCGGCTACTCATCGCCACTCAATGATGGCGAGTCCCAGCACCTCGACGGGGAAGATGAGGGCAATCTCCTTGAAACAAAAGCGTTCCGCCATCCTCGACGAAGTGCGCATAGTAAATGTAAAGGACGCTATCCGCCGTCGGTGTCCTCCGCGGTGGCCGTTGCAGCTGTCGACTCGACACGGTCCATATGTAGCTCGCAGCATCATCTTCTGATCGGAGCTTTTCGCAGTTAACAAGAAGTGGCTCCGATCTTGCAAAGGGCTTGCAGGGAAGCCTTGACTGTTTTCTGCAGGCACGATAGACATGTGCCCATAACGGCCCGCATTATCCTTTTTTTTGTGTGTGTTACTCTTTCGGAGTCCAGATATGACGAAGAAGCAGATACAGAGAAGTGATTTCAAATTTCAGTTGACTTCGTTATAACCGATCTAGACAGTAATTATCTGCAGTTCTTCAGTAAATATGCTAACAAAAGACAACAAATCTGAAACCAATATCGCAGCAAAAGTAGTTTTTCACAGAGACTTGTGTGGATCTAGTTTCATTTAGCCTTTCCAATAGTAATATTTTTTTAATGTTTTGTTAATCAGTACTTACATAGTTTACATACTTTGAGGGTATGTTGGCAAAAGAAATCAAGTAAATGGCTGTTCAAACAGGACACTTAAAGAACGCGTGAAGCGACACTTCTCCACCATATAAAGTACTGCGTTCCGCTTCTGTCCGTTTTTTTTTTTTGCCGGGGGGAAAGCTTCCTTCCGCCAAAATACGCTTGTGACCTTCACGGAGGCCTAGAGTATGCTCATCACGTGGGTCCGGATAACCACACATGCACGCTCTGTTGGCTGTCAGTCAATCGCTCAAGGCCTCTGCTGCTTTTCAAGTGTAACCCCAAAAACTGGAAAGGGAACAATGCAAGGGCGCGGCAGAACAGATAGACAGGCACCGTCGTCACAAAAAAGCGGAGGAGGCCAGGAAGAAAGCTGTGGTGGTTGCCAGGGTGACCTCCAAGTAGAAGACGGGCGACCAGACTTCAACTTCAACCTCATTTGGCGCAGATGTGTCCCTTTACGCATTCTGAAGTATCCCGTTTGGACACCCCTTAATTCAGATCAATGGTGAAATTGTGGCAAGTATATTATGCTGCATGAAACAGGATTACATCTAGAAAGCTCGGCATTTCTCGGATAATGTTTGCGTTGTGGTCCTGGATTAATGAGTCATGAAGACTGTAAAGGCTGAGCTATTACTTTATAGCAGTACCAACATGTGAGCGACTTGCTCGAGACAACCTATATAGCAGCTTCGGCAAACTTTCCAGAACTGAAACCCCCAAAGTTGACACACATGTACTTGAGCCAAACACCATAAGTTTGTCATAATTGAAAACTCTGGGCAGTGGGTGCACGCTTCAGGACTGAGGGACGTGCAATGAGAGCCGGTGACTGCAGGTGGTGATCCGCTGCCGGGACGTGACGAGCATGACCAAGGAGAAGACTGCCCGAGTGATCCCGAATGCAGTGCAAGTGTGCACAGACCACGAGAAGCACTTCTTCACGTCCTTTGGGGCCAGGGACAAGACCTACCTGATGCTCTTCCGCATCTGGCAGAATGCACTCATGGAGCAGGTGAGGGTATGGAAAAGCCATAATACCGCATGCACACACCCTTCCGTAGGTGCAGAGACCGTTGAAGCTTCCATTAAAAAGCCTCCCGCTTGATTCGAGCTGGCCTAACGGTCGAGCCCTCCCGGCCCCAGTGCTCTAAACCAGGGGTTTTCAAACTGGGTTCCGGGGAACACAGGGGTTCCACGAGCTGGTCTCATTGGTTCCGTGAACACCCAAATTGCAACCCCCTCCCCTCAAACCCCCTACGCCGCAGGCTGCACGGCAGGACCATGCAAAGCGCCTACATCTCACTTTGTACTGACATCGCGATTGATATGGTGGGGATATATGGGAAGCAACACAAGCAAATTTGCCTACAATTGTGCATCTGTTGCTTCTCGGTCGGCAAATATGGGGGGGAGGGGGGGGGGGGGGGGGGGGGCAGGGGTTCTGCGATAGTTTTTGAGGCTTCCTGGGGTTCCGTGAGACCAAAAAGTTTGAGAACCCCTGCTCTAAACGATGCTATCTTGACAGGAAGTGGTGTCCCAAGGAAACCACCATAGTGCAAACACTGACTGAATCTACTTAAAAAGCAGCTTGATTGTCACTGTCTGCAATGCGGAGTGCAGAGCTTTGTTATTTTAAGTGCTCGTTGGAATGGCTCGCTAGCTTTTTTTGTCTTTGGTTTTTTGGAACCTGGGTTCCTAAGCTGGATGGCGGGACTAAAGGACCGGGACATTGCCGCTCGCCTATCTAGGGAACGCCGACGAATGTGCCACATGCAGCGCTGATCAATCATGGCAAGTGGCAACGTCCCGGTCCCTCGGTCCCGCCGTCCAGCTTAGAGCCCTTGATGTCCAATTTCTGAAGCATTGCGCCTCTTTAGCAGTATGATCCACTGTAGAAAATGGTTTCTTGCTTCGATAAAGTAAGGGCAAGATAATTGAGCCCTCAGAGGACAACATATTTCCTCAAACTATAGACCCTTTTTGAAATTCAATGCCGTCTGGTGGCTCATAACAGCAGTTTAATTTTTGCCATACCAATGGAATTTATGAACTTGTATTTTATCGGGCACTGTCACTTTTGCAAGTCAACGGCAGGCAAGGAAGTGTTCACTAGCTGTGCTGTTCTTGATCACTTTCATTTTCAACGGTGACAAAGATACAGCCATTGTCAGAACGAAGCTCCAAGCACATAGATGCCTCGATAAAATTGTATACACCAAAGAGCTTGAGAGCCAATTGTGAGCCGCCCACAGATTGACTGAATCTGAGTTGGAAAAGAACACTTATGAAGCTCTTGTGTTCGATTTCTGTGTCGCATCATATTATCCCCTCGAATGTATAGGCCTTGCATTATGTGCTTAGAAGCATCTTCGAGGTCCTTCTTCATCAGTCCCTATAAGGCCGCCGTTAGTATGGCACAGATGCCATTCCTCAAATATGATAGTGATCAAAGTAGCCAGACTGAATTTTGGAAAGGTCTTTTATTGATTTGAACTTTTTCCAACCTGATGTTGTCAATACTGCTAATTTTCTAGACCTTTGTTTTATGTTGTCGCAGAAAGTGCAGCCTGTGTGATATTGTTTCTGATCTTGTAACAATCTTGAAAAAGATTAGCAGAAGAGAAAAAAAAATATCTAGCAAGTGTGTCAAAACTGGTATGGCACTTTCCTAAAGGGCCCCATTTAGAGTGCTTCGGACCTTCTTGTCTATCGTCCTCAAGGACGGTTAATCTGTCTTGTCGTATATCGTCCTCGAGGACGGTTAATCGAGGGCAATAGCGTGCCTGAGGGCCTTTCTCTTGGCTGTGCCAGCCCATGTCGACGCAGGAGCTCTGGCAGTGGGTCCACTACAGCTACGGCGACGAGCTGGGGCTGACAAGCGACGACGACGATTATGTGGCACCCCCTTACTTGGAGGACGAGCCCCGTGGCACCAGGGGCACTGCCCGCCTGGTCTGCCTGCCCGGCATCGACAAGGTGGGGGTCGAGGAGCCATTGGGGCCCGGCTGCAACCCCTTTGTGAGTGCCCAGGAATAACTTCTGTCGCTCATCTGTTCAGTGGCCTTTACGTTATTTGCTGCCATATTGAAATTCAGCTGGCTGCAGGTTTGTGTGAAATAGGTTTATGTCTACCTGTCCCTATAAATTTTGGTTTTTCATCTCTTCATTGGTTTTCTCCAGGGTATTTTAAAGTGGTAGCTTATAGGGCCAACCAACCTCAGGAGCTGCACAAGCACGAAATATGTAGGTCGGTTAGTTTGTAACTGCTAAACAATCTTGGGAAAAAAATGGTAACCGGTACCATGAATTAAGCTCTTGTCACCAGCGTGGAAGATTGAGTGCGCTGCTGACTGAGCTACGGACCCAGCACACAGGAACGGAAGGAGCAGAAGCAGGTGGTGTGCGAAAGTGTGTTGAGCGAAGAGGGGTAAAAAGGGGCAAGAAAGAGAGGAGCAGAAACAGGTGGTGTAGAAAGAGCGCACAGAACGAGGAGGAGTGGAAAGGGAAGAAAAGCAGGCTTCCCTTCTCTTGGTGACCCAGAAAATTCAGCACAAAGGCTTTGTGTCTGTGTTGTGCTGAAGGAAGCACGTGCAGTATCATGAAGAGACAATGGTGTGACATAATTTGTTTCCATACAAAACCCTGCCCTAGGCACCACCTGAACTAAGAGTGCCACCCACCCCAAGCACTGAAAGACTAAGGGTCTTCCTGCCCTAGGCACCACCCGAACTGAGATCACCACCCACCTTTAAAGCTACCGCATTTATACCTATTTAACAGAATGACCAAACATGCAGCCAATTTTTTTTAATGTTATCGTGTCGGCTTGCAGCCTACCTGCTAGTGTCCATGGGAATCCACAGTAAAACTGCAGAAGGCATGAGATGTGTGGAATTTGCATTAGTGCATGTGCACCAAAAGCGCTGTTCAAACCTAAGACATAAAAAGTAAAAATTGCAAATCTGGGTCGGGTTTTGATTAAAGTCTGTAAATGCTAGTCTGATGCAAATAATAAAATTGGTACAGTCAAATCTCAATATAACGAATTTGAAGGGACCACCCGAAATCATTCGTTATTCTGAAATATCGTTAAAGTGAAAATCTTGTAGATTAGCGCCAATAATTATATTGGAGAGAAGGGACGGCCTACCTCAGCTCTATAGCAACGGTACACTCGGAGATAGTAATCTCCAACCAATAAATACACACGGTTGAAGACGCAGCATTTATTTGAAGAAATCGGTGATCTTTTTTTGCTGTGTGGAGCACAAACGGCGCAAGACAAACGACTCTACATCGTCCACATTCTTGTATAGCGCCTCGGGCACACTGGTAGAAGCCTCAAGGTAGGCGCGCAGCTTCCCGATAGCGCTCAGGACATCGGAGTTTGAGACAGAGTCGTCAGGGCGATCAGCGATTTCCACCTCCGCGTCTTCATCGCTGGCATCCTCTGGCTCGCGAACGCTGCCCACAATGTCCTCGGTTGTCAGCTCCGCCGCCGTCCACGCTGCCGTGTCGCACTGGACGTAATCATCGAACGTCACCGAAGGTGCTACGGCGAGCTTTCCTTGTGCCTCTTCCCACAACTCGCTTGCGTCGTCGTCGTCTTCCTGGCACTCGAGAGCTTGCGGATGGGCTGGCGTCTTCAGTAGACCTGCCTTCCTCCAGCAGTTTTGAATGGTGGTCGGCTTGACGTTCCACCACGATCCGGTAAGCATTTCCGCCGCCTGCTTGACGTTTATTGATGTTGGCTGGTTCATTCGAAGGTTAATCAGCAGCCGCTGAACAAGGCGCCTTCGAAATTCCGTTTGGACGCTCTTGATAATTCCTTGGTCCAGAGGCTGCAGCAATGAAGTGCAATTCGGGGGCAAGAACTCCAGACACACATTCGTGAAGCGAACGTTCACAAGATGCGCCGAGCAGTTATCTACGATCATGAGGATTTTCCTGTCCTCCTTCCTCATTTGGCTGTCAACGTTGAAAAGCCACTCGGAAAAGAGATAGCGCGTCATCCAAGCACGGCTATTCGCTCGGTAGTCACAGGGCAGCGACACTACATTTTTCATGCAGCGAGGCTTTAAATACTTTCCGATGACCAGAGGCTTGAATTTCTTCGTTCCAGTTGCATTACAGGCAAACAGCACGGATATGCGAACTTTCGACTTCTTCCCACCTTTGCACTTGTTGCCCTTAAAATGCACCGTTTTCTCCGGAAGGAGCTGATAAAAGCACGCGGTCTCGTCGGCGTTGAAAATATCCTCCTCCGAGTACGACTCGACGATTTCTTGAAAGTGGCCGTTCGTCCATGCAGCTACGCCCTCCGCGTCCGCCGCCTTTCCTTCTCCAGAGGCCGTCTGCCACGTAATTCCGTTTCTCTGACGGAAACGGTAGAGCCATCCAGCACTTGCTTCAAAACCGGTGACTTCAAGCACTACGGCGAATTCCCGGGCTTTTTCTTGAAGCAGTGGGCCCGACACTGGCACATCTTGCAATCGGGCATCCTTGAACCACGTCAAGACTGCTTGATCCACGACTTGAAAATTACCAAGTCGCAGCCGTTTCCTGCTCGGAGCAAGCTGAGACCCCCGGTGCAGAGCCGTATATTGGGAGAGTTTGGCCAGTGGGTGTGGCGACGAAGGCGCCGGAGAGGAGAAAAGTAAATGAAAGGGACGAGAGTGCCGAAGGAGCGAGAGAGAAAGAAGGGAGCAGAGAGGAGAAGACCGCCATTTTTTCGCAACGCTGTCGGAGACTGGTCGGAGAAGAGCACTGCTGAGGCTATGCGTCGTCTGCTACGCTTCTTTTTCGCCTGAATAAAAGTTTGTGGGCATACGCCGAAAAACTTCATTTATTAGCTTTTTAACCCACCGAGGAATAACAGTATATCATTTTCTTGCCAGAGCCAGCGATATAAAAGGAAATAATCGAGATTTAGATGCCGATCCCATTAATTCTGCCGGGAGCATGAACGAAAATGGCGGCTCTCCCCGCTCAGCTGGAAGCAGCCGGGAGTTCACGCGCATGCGCTCATGCCTCTCGCGCTGCGCCGCGTGCTGATTGGCTCACTCGGGAGGACAGCGTTACGGCGGCGAGATCATAGACTGACCAAACTCTCCCCATATACGGCTCTGCCCCGGTGAAGCTTGGTAATCTTCGCACAATCTTTCAAGATGGTCGCGATGGTCGACGGCGCCACTCCAAGATCCTTGCTGATGTCGACCTGCTTTTTTCCTGCATCAATGTCCCGAAGAATGCTGACTTTCTCTTGTAACGAAAACTGCTTCCGCTTCCTTTTGGGGGCGACAGCTGAATTCATCGTCCGTTCAATCGTTCAATGGCCAAACTGACCTGCGGCGGCCGACAACGACCAAGGCTTCGGTTCCCCGAGAACACAAAGAAGCGGTACTCTCCTTGGCCTCCTCGGGCTAGGCCAAGTGCGCATTCCACCCGCGCCCCGATGTTTGATGATGATGATACTCGTCAACTATAAAAGCCGCCTAGCGGCGAAACCCGTACTGAGTATCGCCCGCATCCCGCTAAACTTTTCGCTTCCCTTTTTGCGGTGGATGCAAATTCGCAGTAATGAGGTGTTTATCTTATGCGACAGCGATAAAATTGCATTCGTTATTCTGAATTATTCGGTATTTTGAAATTCGTAGTAATGAAACATTTTTGCATTGAAACTATAGGCCTTTGGAAGGGGATTTTCGAAATATTCGTAATTCTGAAAAAATTGTTAATCTGATGTTCGTTGTAACGAGATTTGACTGTATCCGCGCGGGGTTCTAACAATAGTTTAAAAATAGGCCGCAGATTTTCCTGTGTTTGTTTATAGGGTAATCGATCGGCTGATGTTTTTCAGTGTTTATTTATTTTTAATATATTGATGTAGTTCAGTAATCTACTTCGTAGAGACATTAACAAGTGTTGTTATTGGTAAAAAAACGAATTAAAAACTGTGATGCTAATGTAAGAGGGGAGGGTTTTGACAAAAACAGTCCTAGCTGGCACTACAATTTCAAGAAATCAGCCTCTTTCGGTTCGAATAGATTTTTTGTATTTTTGACACCAAGGATGTTTACCAATGTTTTTTGGTTTTATCCGATTTTGCATTTCTGACATAGACAAGTGTTTATTGGTGGTTTTAGTGAAAACTGGGAAGTTTATGGCCTAGTTCTAAAAGGGGTTATTGTGAATAGAGTTTGTTGTATTCATGTTCTTATGCAGGGTTCGAATCTCCTTTTTCTGGACTGTTTTCAACTCCTAACCTGGACAGATTTTTTTCCAATTTGGGTGTATATTCTCGCTTGTTCCAGACCTTGTGCCATTTTCACATTATCCTGTGTTCACCAGCCTCACCTGGTGTAACTTTTCCGCTTAGGAACGTGCATCTGGGTCAGCATCACTGGTCGAGAGGGGAACTTGTATCTCAATGTGGCATGCTTAAACATTGTGTAGAAAAAATATTGTTGATGGTGCACATAAAAGTGGCAAATCTAGATTGCAATAATGATTTGTAAATATTCAATGTTTTAGTAAGAAACAAGCATTGTTTTAGACCAGCATCAAGTTTCCATTCAGGACGCTCAGAAGTAATCGCTTTTGTTGATCAACTTTCGTTGGCATGTCTTCCTTGGGCCTGTTCTCAAGAAAAGGTTTCTGGGCCTAGCACGAATGTTCCCGCCTTTTGTGTGGTTGACAGGAGGCCCTTCAGAGGGAAGTTGACTGTCTGGAGGAGAATGACCAGTCGGGAGACGGGGAGCCCCCCATCTTTGTCACTCCTCGAGAACCCAAACTGCACCACTCAGACCTGCCCACGGACCTGAGTGATACCACGGAGTTTGAGGGAGACTGTAAGTCCGAGGCCACCTCTGTACAACTGGGAAGGGAATTTACTCCGACGTTTGTTTTGAAATTTCATTTTACAGTGAAGCTGTTTCTGGCTAGGGTTCCGTAGGTTTTTTGTGTGCAGTGACTAAAACTCTACGCTCGCACCGCCGCAAACTCGCCCTTTCTTGGTAAAAGATATAAAGTAAATAAATTAAATAAAGTGTCGATGAACGCACGTGCAAGATGCCGTTTGTTTTAAGCTTTTGCTTTAGAACAGTTACTGCTGCGGACGCCGGCACGTACGGCACGTGGAACACCATTCCCTGCATTCTCCTCGATACCTGGGTAATTTAGCAATACGGTCGCTGACCGATTTTTTGGACGCCGATTTCTTTGACAAGTTTGATTATTCAGACGTTTTCGCCGAACCGTCACTTACCCCATAGAGTTAATGAATAACATTGACTGAAATTTCGGACGTTGTAAATCTGATTGCTCGATATTTCGATCACAATTTGCGTGATTTCCTCAGTTTACAGCCACAAAACAGCCGCTGCAATAGCGCCACGAGGTTAGTCGTCACCATTTTGGTTTTTTTGATTTTGCCCTGTAGCCTCGATACCACGTCATACGCAATAAACAAGCTGGGTTGAGGCTATGCTATAGTCGGGTTTTCTGGTTCCACTATAGCCAACTTGGCCACTATCTGCCCATTCTTATGGTTCTTCTAGTTCTTCTTATGGTCCGTGTTTTTCAAGTGTGGCCGCGAGAAGTCTGTCGTTCTTGCGGTTTTTCAGCACAAAGGTTTTTTTACCTATAGGCTTAGTAGTGAAGCGAGCTTGGTGGACTAAACATTGTCTCCAAATAGTGCCAAACGGCGCCAGCTTCAACTTTGCTGTTTGTGCCAACGAAGGCGCCAACAAAGTGCAGCGCTGTGGTCAATCATCAAACAGATCAACAAACAAGTGAAAAGTGAACAATATAAAGTGGAAGTTGCACAAGAGCTTAAAATTGATATCAAGCAAGTGAAAAGTGGCTAATATGCGCGGAAATTTAATATTTTTGGGGGGCTGAAATTGAGTTTTCGAACCGCATGATTATTTGGACAATTCCGGGGTCCCCTCAGAGTCTGAAAAGTCGGTTGGTGACCGTAGGTCTATTCAGTAGATTAGTTATCAATAGAGACTATTTTCCAGATCAGTAGACTCTCAAGTAGATTATAAAGGTTTCTCAAAGATTCGCCGCTGTGCGACCCGCGTCTGGCATGTCTGCGCTTGCACCGCCCTCTCTTTGTCGTCGTTCCAAGTGCTTGCGTGCCTATAGTCGGTTACAAGTCAAGAAGGTAGGAGAAGCTCCTCCCACAAGTGTGATGCGCCCGTTTCAAATCTCTCCGCAGTCGAAAGAAGAGTTCACTGGAAATGCTCCTAGTTCCGCTTCAATGGATCCCCACTTGTCTCCGATCCCACTTTTTAAGAAAGCGACCTTTGTATTCATCGGAGAGGGAACCGAGCCCCTGAAAGCAGCCTTTGTATCCATCGGGGGGGAAGCTAATCCTCGAAAGTCGTATTTGTTTCCGTCGGTGGGGGAGAACTCTAATCTCCCTCTCGTGCCTTCCACAATGCTAAGTCAAAGTCGAAAGATAAAGCAAATATGTACAGAAAGGCAAGACCCTCCTCGCGCGTTGTCCGTGACGTCACGGAAACGGTGGGACGCTATTGGATGCAAAGGTGGCGGAGGGATATCCGATTCCCTTTGAGGGGCATTTGCCGCTACCTTCTTAACCCGTAACTGACTATAGTTTCCTCTCCTTCCACTAAAAAACAACATTTCCGGCGTTTTTTTAATGGGAAGGCATTAACTGTCTCATGGATCGAACCGGCATTATCAACTTTTGAAGCCACGTGCCAAACAACACCTAAATTTTTCTGTCCCAATAGAATAAAGACTGTAGTCTATGGCAGCAATTTGATGAATAGGCTCCCATTGGCTGGCACATGTCATAGTTTCAAGGAACGAGGCTCCCATTGGCTGGTGCGCGTCATAGTTTCAAGGAATGCCACCCCAAAGCACTGCGGGCCCCGTGCCGGTAAAAGGAACACAGTGGTGCGCACTCCGCCACTTGTGCTCCTCTCAACGCCGACGAACATGGCGGCGCCTCCAGCATCTACATTTTCGGCAGCCGCAACCTCGGCAATAGCGAAACCTGCTTGTCCGCACAAGTACACGGCAGACAGACTAAGGCAGCGGAATAATGCAGCGCAATGAGCAAGGAGGCAAGCAGCGAAATCCATCATTGTTGTCTCCGAATGCTCGGCGGGCAGAATGAGCACTGGCACAATGCGCTAGGTGACAGAACAAAGCCTTTCAAAAGCGTGAGGCACAAGTAGATTGCGATTCGAAGCGTCCCAGACGGCAAGAGGACGAGGCCCTTCGACAATGCAAGGCGGAAGCAATACGTCGCAGGCGACTTGCTTTCGCATTCACAACTTATAAGTGTCTAGGTGTCTTTAAATTACTTTTTACAGCGAAGCTGTTATGCATTAAGATCTGGGAAAAATGCGTCCGTGGATGTTGACAGAAAACTCTTCATTGGTCGTGGCAAGTATGAATAAGTAAATAATAAAGCGATGTAGATGCTAGGAGATGCTGCTATGTTTGTCGGCGTTGAGAGGAGCCGAAGCGTCCGAGCACGCACCACTGTGTTCCTTTTATCGGCACGGGGCCCACAGTGCCCTGGGCAACCAGCGTGAGTCAGCCTTCCTTGGCATTATTAAATAGTGAGGTCCTGATCCCTTGTTATCATCTCTAGGCATCCTCCTCGAGGTCGTCCTAGGGGTAGTCCGAGAGGTCGTCCTAGACATCGTCCTCTAGGCATCGTCCTCAACGTCGTCCTAGAAGTCGTCCTTGAGGTTGTCCTAGATGTCGTCCTCGAGGTCGTCCCGAAGTGGTCCTTGAGATCATTCGTGAGGTCGTCTAGAAGTCGCCCTTGAGGTCGTCCTAAATGTTATTCTTTAGGCGTCGTCCTAGAGGTTGTCCTTGAGGTCGTCCTAGACATCGTCCTGTAGGTCGTCCTAGAAGTCATCCTTGAGGTCATTCTAGAAGTCATCCTTGAGGTCGTCCTAGACATCGTCCTCTAGGCGTCATTTTTGAGGTTGTCCAAGAAGTCGTCCTTGAGGTCGTCCCACCATAGTACAGCTTTGCTGGTCTTCCTTCTTCACCAAAGTGGAAAGGCTGAAAGTTTTCGTTAAAAGCGGACTCGTATTGCATTGCGGGTATGCAAACGGTGACGGGGAATTGAAATTGGATTGTTATACCTGTTATTTTGCTATTTCAGGGTTCGCTATAAGAGGGCTGTACAGTATTTTAATCGGAGTCATATGATGCATGATGTGGAGCTCTAGGCATGGCTTAAATTGGAGCACTAGGCATGGCTTAAATTTACATGTGCTGCTTATTTGCTATTCATGGCACTAGAATAATTTTGAAGAGAGCTCTGACATATTGTTTTTGGTGAATGCCATTTCATTAAATGTTTTAGCAAATACTAATCATTTCAACAAACAGTCCCTTCATTCAATAACATTTTAGTGTTCATTATATGTCATTGTTTTGCTTGTACTTTATAGTGAAAGCCTTCATAGCCTAAACTACTGCCACTGATGTCAGTATTCCGGGAGGCGCTCGCTGTGCATGCATAATTATGTTCCTTTAAGCGCACACAACATGATCAAGCAGTCAGCCTTTTTCATTGCTTTGTCGGCACTTCACCCAGAGTTATGAGGTTCAAACACAACCTAAAAAAAAAAAAATTGAAACTGTGATGTTACTGATGCACTCACTGTGAACATGTGCCGTGCCAGTATTTTATTTTTATTCATTATTGAGTAGGATGGGTCTAATCAAAGTCCATGTTACAGCATCGGAGTGCCCATGTCCGGCTCCCTCGCACGAGGGCAAGGAGATGCTGAACCTGGTGCTGTCCATGTCGGTGGACCAACTATTCAGCCTCTTGTTCACAGGGTCACGTTTCTTCCATGACCTCCTCACCTCCAGAAAGACCTACGGTGAGCACAGTGTAATGCCTCGGCTTGTTCAGAGGCCAATTCATTCAGGCCCATCAGCATCAACATGCGACCATGCCCATATCATTTTAGAACTTTAAACAGTAGTGTTACTGTTTAAAGTGCTGAAATTAATTATTTATGGTTGCATGTTGATGCTGATTGGTTAGCTGAATTATAGTTGGCTAAGGTGGGTATAGTCGACTAAGCTTGCAAAACTCTCGGCCACTTTGAGTGAGAGCCTAGAAACACCGCTTTCCCTTTTCTCAAAGGGTTTTTTTTTATGAAGAAGTTAAGAATCTCCCATTCTTTCTGAAGAGTGGTGATGCTTCAATGCATGATTTAGCTACACTTAAATTTGGCTCAAAGTGAAGAAACACCTTACTAAAAGTAGAGCCATTTGAGAGAAGTCAGAGGCTCAAGCAACTATCAGAGGTAATACGGGGAATTCCAGGGTTCCCGGTAGTCCGAGCTGAGAAGCCATTTTCAAGATATTCAGCAAAGAATGGCGCAAAAAAACTTGGGACAAGTAAAATAGAGACGAGACGAGCAGTAACTTACTGAAGGGTGCTGAGGAAGAGAAGTTTAACTGCCAGTCCTTGCCAAAGAAACAGAGAATGTTCAGTTATAACGTAAGGCTGCTTCAGTAAATAATGTAACCAGAATTCTGTGCTTGGTGGACTAGGAGTGTTGTTTGGAAAGCTATTCCAGGCGGAAAACTGAAACCTCGGTCCTGTGAATCTACTGATTCATGTGACTGACTGGAAACATTGTTTTCATCTTCGCTAGATGTGACAGAGAGTAACTGGCAACCCTGTCCCGAGACGGGCCACAAGCTACGGCAGCTGACATACACTGTGACACTGAATCATGCCATGGCAAAGGCTGCACACTCAACCGAGACCCAGGTGAGTGTCCTGCCGATTTCACGATGACTGTGAATGCTTCAAGAGAACTGAATGGCCTTAGAGAAATTTATCCATTATATATATATAATTTATACTAACGTGTTAGCATTGCTAACACGTTAGTAGCAAGTACTTTTACAGATGTTGTGAGAAAAGTTGGTAATGCTCTACAAGTAACGAAACTTTCTTGTAAAGTCGCCGACCAATTTTTTGGACTTCACAGTGGCTGTAGAAATGTCCGAATAATAGAGCAGCCCGAAAAATTGGCAGATTAAAAAACTTTTCTTTATTACGTCTAAGTGGGCTTAAAAAGCCGCCAATAGGTTATGCCTCCACTTGCGTTCGGCCACTTTCTATTAGCTTGAGAATCTTTGCCTTCTTTTCTAGCGTTACGGTCGAGTATTTTCCGCGCTTCATAGCGACACTTCGCAGCGGTGGAAGAGCAGGTGAGGCCATGATGTCTAAACCAGCATAGTCCGAAAACATGATTCACCGAGACTAGATGAGTGGCGCAAGTCCATGAGTGCAGAATGGCAAATGAACAAAGCAAAATTGTAACAATAATGATAATGACGCTCAAAGAGAAAAAAAAGCCGCAGCGTAGCGTGACTTAGCGGTAGGATTTAGTAGTACTCAATTAGCGCTGCCAAACCAAGCCAATTTATGAGCAGCCAACATAAAATCTAAAATGGTGGCTTGTCTGTGGTGTTTCCCGCTGATTGCTTGTGACGATTTGTCTGAAAAATTTAGCTTTCAGACTTCAAGCTGCCAGAAACATTGGTCGTGAACATGCACTATTTCTATCGGGCAGGTCACGATGTCTCCTTTAGGCCCCAAATATTGAACAAATCTGAACTATCAGCATCCAAAAAATTGGTCGGCGACTGTAGTATGAATCTTCTGGGAAAAACTGCTGCTATAATATTTTCGAAGGTGACCCGCTCCTGAAAGATAGCCCGCCCCTACCCTATGTCCAGTTCTTCATCCTCAAGGAACTTCAGAAGGGCGACTATCTTTAGAATTGCATTACTTGGGCTCTGACCATTTTTGTGTCAGACTAAGCAATAGAGTTGAACCTCTTTATAACAAACACTAGCTGATATGGTGAATTATCGGATATAGCAAGCTAATCACGAAGTTTGGTTGATCATGCTTTTTTTGGATAGAAGTTCTAGTTATGTAACAAAACCGAAACTGTGAGATCTGACACGCTACCGGTTATAGCAAAGTAATTCCTGTTTTTGTTACATCACGAAATACTATGAGTTACCAAAAAGTAGAAAAAATACAAAAAGTAATTTAAAGTCGAAAAATTTCGAAAGTTAAGATTGCATGATGTGCAAAAATGCGCGTTTCGGGAGGTAGCGCCACCTTTGAACCAAGTGGATAACAGCGGGGGTGCCGCTGCTGGCCTCTATGCGCGGCATCAAGAACCAGTGCAGACTGAAGCTAACCACCGATCCGCTACTCGTAGCAGCTGCAAATGACGACGAAGCAGAACACAGTCTCTCTGAAGACAAAAGTGAAGGTTTTGAGGGCGACAGACAGCGGTCAAAAGAAAAAAGACTTCACTGTGGACTTCAAGCTTGCACCAACCATGATATCTGCCACCCTGAGTGCAAGGAAAAATATTGAAGACTGCTATGCAAATAACACCGTCAAGATTGACAGAAAGTATCTTAGACCTTGCCTATACCATTGTTTCTCGTGTTGTAAATTAATATTGTCTATTCCTATCTATTTTTTTAATGCTGCTTAGTGCGGGCCCGATTGCGGGAGCGTTTGTGTCAATTTTTGTGTGTACTTTTATATAATGAATATCGCATATAGCGAACAAATTTTTGCTTGCAATGCTAGTTCGTTATAACGAGATTCAATACAGTCTAAGCTCAATACAACAGACCTGGTTACAACAGACATTCGGATAGAACATATCATTTTATTAAGTTCAGTTGGTTTTCCTCTACAGTGCAATCCACTTATAACAATATTAATGATGTCCGAAAATCTTATCGTTATAACCGATTATCGTTGTATCTGAACTGCGCCTCTAAAGGTCCGAAATATTACCCTCCTTGCTCCCCGATGCCAAAGGGTACTCACCAGCATCGAGTCGATTAGGTTGTGAAAGATGAGCCATGAAACATTATATTTTCTGCTTCTCGGAGACTTCAATAAGTACAGAATGAAATATGCTACGCATGCTTTAAAAAGTCAGAGATTTCCGTTTGCTTGCACGGAAGCCGCAGCTTGACGATCGCGGTTTGCATCACATCGAGTTGTTGTGCGTACGCTGGCGACAGTCCTTTCGACTGAACAAAACCGATCAGCCAATGAATCGCGAGCAGGGCACCTTGTAGAGGGCTTCTTCAATGTCGCTGTACAAAGGGTCCCGCACTCGCTTCCGATGGTCGGCATGGCCGCCAGTCCCAGCGTTCTTGACGGCGTCACCTGCTTTGAGTATGGTCGATATGGTCGACTGCGACAGCTCATACTTTTTGACAAGACTCCCCACCTTGAAACCCTGACGCTAATCTTGCAGAATTTGTTGTTTGACGTCGACAGAGATCGCTTTACGTTTTGTTGAAGCCACCCTGCGCCGGTGGCAATCAGTTCGTCGAACGACGTTTCATGGACAAATCATTTCGTCGACACTGCGATGTTTCATCGACAGATCGTTTCGTGGAAACAAGCACCCGCTCGTTTCATCGACAGATGTTGCGACGTTTCGTCGACAGCTCGCTCTCCGAGCTGCTGGCTGCAGCCAGCTCAACCAGCTCAACCTGCACCTCCTCGCGACCTCTACGCCTGCGCGGCGTGCGGCCTTGTGTTGGATGGATGGATGGATTAAAGATGGCCGACCGGGCCAAGTATGGCGAACCAGTGCGCAGCCATCTTGCCTCACCGACAATTAACTTTTTCGGCATTTTTTTTTTTTTGGGGGGGGGGGGGGGGGGGGGGAAGAGGGGAGAGGGGGAGGGGGCACCGATCGCATTGATTTCGGAACTTACGATTTGTATGGTTTCGCTCGTGTCTTTGCCCGAACCTTTGGGGAAGCGTTGTCAAAGCCGGGTAATTTTGTTCTCGACCACTCTCCTTTCTCAAATTAGATTCTGAAAACATTCAACATGATGCGCTGCTCTTGAGGGCTACGCTTTTGGCAGCACACGTGATCGAGGTGTCTGCATGTCATCGAATGCAACCCTTTGCGGGCTGGCCGCCGGCACTCCGACTGTTTTGAAAAAAGTGGCAGGATCGTTCCCAGAGCAAGTGTATCTTTCCGCGCGTCGCGTATTTTGGTAAAATCCTCAAGAGCCACCTGAACATAGCATAGATAGCCCACACGTCAAAACACTGAAGCTCTTAAAAGAATTTAATGAAAAAACTAGGCCTGTTTGCGGTGCACACAGCCTTTCTACCGTTGAAAATGGCATAAAATCGGTTTTTAATCGAATTGGCATCTGATCTTAACCGCAAGCAATAAACTTTGAAAGAAACTGAGCATTCGGCTACGCGTAGTTCACTTTACGGTGATAAAACACGGTTGTTTTTTCCTCGAAACACCGGGTATTTAACGTACTGTACTTACCAGACCGGATACGATTTTTAGACTTTAGCATATTTTGCTTCTGGATATTAAATAACACTATAGTTCTGCATGTGTTATATCTGTACTAAAATTTTGCATGCACATAAACCAATATGTGACCAAAGAACATGAGATTTGGAAGCCGCTCCTTTATGCAAAGAGCTGGGCCACGAACTTGCCCCAGGCATCTGTCTGCTGGCATCGATAAAAGAACAATTGAATGTTGCATGTGAGGACCAGTCGGCTGCTGCCGACAGATCTCGTCTAGTGGTATCTACCGCCTCCGAGGCCTTGGATGTGGCGGCCGCTCGAGAGAAGCTATATAATACATTAAGTTGCACATTTGATATCAACTATGGTTTATTTCGTGTAATAAGACTAAACTTGATGTAATGTTTTATTTATGTGTTACCGATTCTCGTGTTTTTCTGTTTTTGCATTGCAATGTAGCCTTTTTAGGTTTACTCGCGGGCAGCGTGCTCAAGGTAGTGCGAGTGTTATTGGTTTTCGTGCTGTTGTTATTCATTTTTATCTGACAATGTTTACAGCCCCCTTATGTAATGTCCTCTTTAAACGGCCCTTAAGGATAAATGACGATGAAACGAGTGCGACTAAACAGTTTTTTCGCGTATAAGTCGCAGTAGCCAGTAAAACACTGCATCATTTTTCCTTTTGAATAATTGAGGGTAATGAACATGCTTAATTTCAAGTAAAATATTAGGGTTGTAATGTTTCAATAAAAGGCTGCAAGCTGTATTTTTGTTTCAAAATAACCAATATGAAGAAAAAAATCAGTGTTTACGCCTTTTTCCGCAACCCACCATTGGATCGAAGTTTCGTTTTGCGCCTACGCATAATTTTCTCCATCACTTTTCTTCTTCCAGTAACTTTCGGTTCCATAAACGGGCATCGGAACTTGCAAATATCCGAATAGGCCGCGCGCGAAGTCCTGCGCGCTCTTGCTTATTCCATGTGACACGGAGGAGAGCGAGGAGATAGCACAGTTGCTCACCTTGGAGAGCAACTGCGCTAGGCATCGTCCTTGTTATCTGTTAGTACCGTTTGTACCTTAAGTTGCCGGCAATCCTGTCGGAACAGCAAAAAAAAAAAAAGTTTGTCGACGAAACGTTTTACGGTGGTGCTGTCGACGAAACGATTGTCGACGAAACGTCACAGTGTCAACGAAACGTGTGTCCATGAAACGTGTGTCCACGAAAAGTTGTCCACGAAACGTAATTCCACGAAACGAGTTTCGACGAAATGATAGGGACCCTTACGATAATGATGACAATGCTCCTCTTGAGACCGCACGCAGCGCCTTCTCGCGGAGTATTCGATGCGCCCGTTCGCGATGATACCAATGATACCGTCCGATTTCGGCGACCGATGCCGATTTCGCCACCGTTTGCGCGGTGCATTTCTTTGCTTTTTTTTTCTTCTCGTTTTCAGTAAATTTTTGTAATAAATACGTTCTAGGCGGACTAATTTTATCGCTATAAATCGTATTTACTCGCAAAATGAACGCGCTTTTTTTTCCGAAAAATCGATGCAAAGTTGGGGGGGGGGGGGGGCGTTCATTACGCGAAGTAAAATTTTTGCGTTCGTATTTACTTGCATAATGAACCGACCTTTTATCCCGACCCCGTAACCAAACTAAGCTGTGCAAAAAAAGAAAAACTCTTTGTTTTCTTTTTCTCTTAATTCCTTGGGTTGTTTTTTTTTTTTTGCCGCCTTTTGCAAGTTGTTTTGTTTGCTTAGGCGAGGGCTCTCCGCTTATCTTTCTTATCTCCTTGCGCGCGGCGCGCGACCCCCCGTAACCAAACTGCGCTGTGCAAAAAAAAAAAGTTTTTTTTTTTATTTTGTGAGTGTTTTTTTTTTTTTTGCCGCCTTTCGCAAGCTGCTTTGTTTGCTTAGAGGGCTTCTCCGCTCCTCTTCCTTACCTCCTTTCGCGCGGCAAGGAGGTAAGGAAAAAACGCTCCACTTTGTTTTTGTTTCTCTTACTTCCGCCGGTTTTTTTTTTTTTTTTTTTTTTTTTTTTTGCCGCCTTTCGCGAGCTGTTTCGTTCGCTTAAAGCGCTTCTCCGCTTCTCTTTCTTACCTCCTTGCGCGCGGCGTCGCGCGAACCCAAAATTCAAACTGCGCTGTGCAAAAAAAAAAAAAAAAAAAGAAAAAGCTCCTTTCTGTGTTTTTTTTTCTTGCTTCCGTTGGATCTTTGCGAATTTTTTAACGCCTTTTGCAAGGCGTTTTGTTCGCCCACGCTGCCCATGCATTCGCGACCTCGCTGCACCAGGATAGAAAAGTGCGTTCATTTCGCGCGCGTGGGGGGAGGGGGTCAAAATTTGGACGTCCGAGTTGAGAATGCGTTTATTACGCGAGTGAAAAAAAAGTGAAAGCCATTTACAACTCCCTGTAACGCCGAATTAGAGCGCAGCTCTTGAGGAGGAGGAGGGAAGGGTACTGGGGGGGGGGTCACGTGACCTAGGGGGGTCACGTGACGATGCCGATGACGTCATCATTAACGATGACGATGCGGATACCAATGACGTCATCAGTGACGTCACTGATGACGTCATCAGTGATGATGACGATACCGGTGACGTCATCAGTGACGATGCGGATGCCGGTGACGTCATCAGTGACGTCACTGATGACGTCATCAGCGATGTTGACGATGCGGATGGTGATGATGACGATGCGGATGCCGGTGACGTCATCATTGATGATGACGATGCCGGTGACGTCACTGATGACGTCATCAGTGATGATGACGCTGACGATGCGGATGCCGGTGACGTCATCAGTGATGATGACGATGCGGATGCCGGTGACGTCATCAGTGACGTCACTGATGACGTCATCAGCGACGATGACGATGCGGATGCCGGTGACGTCATCAGTGACGTCACTGATGACGTCATCAGCGACGATGACGATGCGGATGGTGATGACGTCATCAGTGATGATGACGATGCGGATGCCGGTGACGTCATCAGTGACGTCACTGATGACGTCATCATTGACGCTGACGATGCGGATGCCGGTGACGTCATCAGTGACGTCACTGATGACGTCATCGGGGGGTCACGTGACTTGGGGAGCCACGTGACTTTGGGTGTCACGTGACCCTGGGGGAGGGGTCACATGACCTTGGGGAGGCACGTGACCTTGGGTGTCACGTGACCTTAATGTCACGTGACCCTTGGTGAGGGGTCATGTGACCTTGGGATGACCTTGGGGGTCAAGTGACCTTGGGATGACCTTGGTTACGCCGACGGCAACGCCGACGCCTCAAGCCGGGAACGGGCCCCTAAGAGCTGCGCTCTAAAAAAGTCGAAATTTTGAGAGCCGACTTGGGGGGTGCGTTCATTACGCGAGTGCGTTCATTGTGCGAGTAAATACGGTATCTGGTTTTTAGAGCGCAGCTCTTAGGGGCCCGTTCCCGGCTTGAGCGGCGTCGCCGTCGCCGTCGGCGTCGGCGTAACCAAGGTCATCCCAAGGTCACGTGACCCCTCCAGGTCACGTGACCCCTCCCAAGGTCATCTCAAGGTCACGTGACCCCTGAAGGTCACGTGGGGTCATCTTGGGATCACGTGACCCCTCCCAAGGTCATTTCAAGGTCACGTGACCCCTCTGAGGTCACGTGACCCCTCCCAAGGTCATCTCAAGGTCACGTGACCCCAAGGTGACCCCATGTGACCCCCCAGGTCACGTGACCCCTCCAGGTCACGTGACCCCCGAGGTCACGTGACCCCCTGAGGTCACGTGGGGGTCACCTTGGGGGTCACGTGACCTTGAGGTGACCCCCATGTGACACCCAAGGTCACGTGACCCCCAGGTCACGCCTCCCCGAGGTCACGTGACCCCCTCCCCGAAGTCACGTGACACCCCCCCCCCCCCCCCGAGGTCACGTGACCCCCCCGGAGCATATTAAAGAATGAGGGGAGGAAAGGAGAAGGAGGAGGGGTCTACCCTCCCCTCAGTACCCTTCCCTACTCCTCCTCAAGAGCTGCGCTCCCATTCGGCGTTACAGGGATTTGTAAACGGCTTTCACTTTTTTTTTACATGGACAAAGTGCAAAAATTGATAGTTTCAAACAAACTGATTGTTATAAGCAGTACATCATTATATGTGGTATCGTTTTAAGTGGACTGCACTGTACATACCATTGACTCAACTTCCTATCTGCATACAACTACTCCTTTTACAACAGACCGAAATCTTGGTCAAAATCCAGGTCTGTTATAACGAGCTTGGACTGTATTAGTTTTGTCAGCGAAAGCGACTGTGCCTTCGACAGCAAAGAATAGGAATGAAGATGCGAAGTTCTTTCCGTGTCTCGCCTGACACAACGTTTGTGATGCTGTCTAGGACATCCAGTGTGTGTGTGTGTGAATGGGCAAGGATCTAACTTGAGCGACGTTTTCAATCTTCCGAGGTTGTGCAGCGAGACTCACAAAACCCCCCTTTTAGTTTTGGGGGATATGGCCTTCAAGATTGTTTCTTGCCTGGCCCTCCGCCCTGGTGCAGATCCTGCTGAAGCAGAGCCGTCCTGGCCAGGTGTACGCCATCGACTGCGACGTGCAGAGCACGGGGATCCCGTACAGCGACGCCTTCTGCGTCAAGTCACACTACTGCCTGTCTCGCATCTCAGACAGCCGCTGCCGCCTACGCATCTTTGCCTGCATACGCTACAAGAAGTCTGTCTGGGGCCTCGTGAAGTGTGAGTCTCTGCCAGAAAAGTCACCAAATGAGCTATTCGGCAGAGTAACGACGCCTTGGCCATATTGTTACGTAGAATCACTTGTGCCAGCTGTCACCAGCTTCTCTCAATGTGCCCGATGGAAAATGCAACAAGTGCTCTTCATTGTGCTGCTTGCTAGAACAGTTCGCAACAGAGCAAAACGCTACTGCACTGACACCGTACCTACAGCTGAGAAGTCGCGGTTCAGAACAGTTGTAAATGGCGCTCGTCCATCACTAGGCACCGAAGTAATGATGCCCACAAGCCGCTGTTGCCTAAGCAAGTGTCACGTGACGTGAATGAATTGATGGCCATCGTCGCAGTGTCGGTCAATGGGCAATCGGGGCAAAGGGGGTCGACACTCTGAGCTTAGCTTTCTGGTGACTCTAACTACCAGCCACATCACAGTACCTTGATTTAATTCATATGTTATTATTTGTTTTTTACGAGCAATAACAATTGCTGCAATCCTTATTGCCTGTTTGATGATTTGGGGACGGCTTTGTAACAATCAAAGTGTCATATTTTTTATTGAGGCTCACTTATTGCAATTTAATGATCGAAGAGACAGTAGTATTTTGAGGCACACCAGAAAGGAAGTTGATGCCTTACTACTTTGGCAACTTAAACAGGACCATCACCCAAAACTGTGGTATACTAGCGAAAATGTGCCATCTTTGAGCCTGTATTGGCAAGGCACCAACGCATGTGATTAGCACGATTCGAAGCAAAGGGTTCAACAGCCAATCTCAAGTGTGTGCCTCCTTGCAGCTGTGATAGAGAAGAACTCCCTGCAAGGAGTGGCTGGCTTCTGCAATGACCTGGGTAAGTGTCCATGTTTGGATGCTCGATGGATAAGAAACCGTAGACGGGAGAAGATGGAGATCACACCCCAATGTTGTGCTTGTGTGTGCAGAGGGGGCGCTGCTCACGGAGGCTGAGCGTCTGCAGCCGGCTTCTGCGCAAGGCCACAAGCAGCGACGCAGACGGCTGAGGGACTCCCAGCATGACCAGGGACAGAGGGACCGCTCCAGCAGCTCACAAGCCTGCTTCCCCAGATTCGGTAGGACTTCATTATGTGCACACACCCTTGATTCTTCTGCTGGTGCACTGCTTTTGTCAAGCTCCCACTAATCTAGCGGGGACATTGATTTTTTAGGCACGAGTCTGGACAATGAATGTGAAAGTTTGCTTTGCCTTTTGTTAATATGTTTCAATGCTTTGGCAATGTGAATCCTCTGACCAACTGTTTTTGTTGGATAAGCTTGCTGTACGGGTAAAAAATTAATTCAGTTTATGTTTACAAGTTAAAGCTGCATTTGTCAATTCTTAATGAACAAGTTTAAGACAGTTGTAATCTTTAGTTGAAGCCCTTTTATGTTGGCCAACATTCATTTTGTGAAAGCCTCACAACTATCAGCTTTATCACTTTTATGTGTGGAAATATGAGATATTTTGGAAGTAACATGAGAAGCCTGGGAAACCTAATAAGAATACTTCAGACTGCTGCTTCCTCAACCGGACATTTGCTTCGTTTTTTAGCTTTGTGGGAAAAAAATGCAACCTTTATTTAATTTTTGAGTGAAGAGGCATTTTAGTAAATAAGTGTTGAACTTGTGGTGATCCCTAATGTCTGCTTGCAGGCTCTGCCAGGATCCACCTTGGCGAGTCTAGACGAAGTTGCTTGCCTACCAGTGCCACCCTCAAAGCTCTGCTGTTCCTGTGAGTGGTTGGGTGGCCGTCATCTCTTTTTTACCAGCGATACCCACCTTGCTCTTAGTTCATCATAAAGTCTAGCGGTTGGTAAATTGTCATGCCGGTAGATTCATACTCTGATGAATATACAAATTAATTAGCTTATTGTAACTGTTAATGGATAGACCAAGTTATTGTCTTTATTTTAATTCAAAGAAACGATTTCCAAGTGCATTAATTTTCTGCCCAAACAGTTCATGGATTGTTCAGTGCGACACTCACCACCCTGTCATATGTCACATATGCAGGATGTGATGGTGGAGTGTTTACGACGTGTTGATAGTGCCTCGTCTATACACCTTTGCAAGTGGGATTCCAACTTAACCTCGAACTGCACGCCGAGGTGACCTATTCTCCAGCCAGGACATTCGCTCTTTGTCGTACAATGTTGCCAAGCGTCTCTTGCTGAAGCATATGCCACTGAATGCAGAAAGAGATTTCTGAAAGATACAGGTGTTGTTTCTGGCAGTGAAAGAGCACAAACATTTAAATAAGATTCCTAAATCAGTAACAAACTGAAAAATTCGAAAAATATCTCAAGTCTCAGAGCGCTTATCAGAATGTGCCAGAAGCCGCATGGCCATTGCATCAATGATGGCTGCGCTCGCGGCAGCTCTGGCTTCCATGACGTGCTGGAACAGAGGCTGCAGTCATTATGAAGTCAGCTTCAACCCTTGAACATGCTCCCTCCTACAATATTTGATGCTACGATTCTGAGTGGATATACCTCCTCCTGCAAACCGAAACAGCAAGTGCGTGGCAAACGCTGGCCGTCACCTTGTCCTCGCGCACCCCAATGACGGGCCCCTAGCACACCCATACATGGCAGAAACGTTACACAGTGCCAGCATCGCTCAAAATAACAGTGCACAGGAGCCTCTCTTGCAAACGTGTATAGAAGGCCAATATTGAAGCTTCTAAAAAGGAACAAGCCTTTATGAAACCAAATTTTGTATAATTAATCGAAGGAACACTGAACTCTTAAAAAACAGTTGTTGATGATTGCTTGGATAAAACATATGCACCACAAAAATAAACTTTCCCCAAAAAAAAACAAAATTTTAAGAACAATACTTACGCTGCGAGGCACATTTGAGCAATTCTGAAAAGTTGCTTCTGTTTTGAAGTCAATGTCTCAATATAGAAGCATGTGTCGGAATCCTTCCAACCTGAAAATAAATGCACAACAAAAATAGAACGCTAAACATTTTTTTTTGGTGGGGGGGGAGGGGGTTGGGGTGGGGGGGGGAGGAGGGAGGGAGGGAGGGGAGGGAGGGGGGGGGAGGGCGGAGTTTGTGTTCTGTGACGCTCATGTCCTGCGCAGGTACCTACAAAAAGTTTTGGGAAAAGTTCAGTGCCCTTAGCAGCGATTCCGAAATACAGTATAGACCACTTACAACGTAACCGCTTATAGTGCAGGACCGGGTATAACGCGGTTTTTTTAAACCACAGGTTCGCCTCCCATAGAACTCCATGTAATTACATACCGCTTAAAATGCAGGCGCGCGAAGGGAAATACCGGTTATAGTGCGGTTTCTGGCACAGCCCGCTGACCGCGCCGACGACCGGAGCAGTGAGCACGCTTCCCTGTGCGACACTCGCGGGGCAAGGAGGTTGCTCGAAGAAGCGGGGGAGGGGGGGGAGAAGCGAAGAGAGAGGCTTCAGTTGCCATAGCGACGGAGGGACGCACGCACGTGTCGTTCACATGCGTGCGTCCCTCCGCTGCGTTAAAAACAAACAACCGCAACGACAGACCAATCGCAGGTCGAGGACAGACCAATCGCAGGTCGCAAACATGGCGTCTGTTGTGATTGTCGTCGTAGACGGCATTCATCTCATCGTTCCGCGTAAAAACGCTATCCTTGACTGTGAATTTTCGTTGTTCAAGTTGTGCTCAAGTTCAAGGTATTACTGGCGCGTACCATATGAAGGATGCGAATTTTCACGTGTTTTCGTCTCCGGAGAAAAGTGATTAGGGTTAGCAATCCTGAACGCTCGCAACGTCTGTCCGCAACCTGCGCCAGGCAAAAGCCTCTTCATTTCTTTCAAAATGTGTGACACACTTGAGACAGAACTGTACTAGTCTGGTGAAATAAAGACTAAGCTTTATTTTTCATCTAACATAAAATAAATTCTTTTACAAAGGTAAGTTGTCTCATGGCATGTATTTTGGCCTGAAAAATTGATGTTTTGGTTATAGCGCGGTACCGCTTATAGTGCGGATTTTCGCGACTCCCGCGACATACATTATATGCGGTCTACACTGTATACTTTTATTTCGGCGTCGGCATTTCGAAATAGCTTTTGGAATCGCTCCTAACTCGGAGCACCGTAAGTTTTGTGACGGGAATATTGCACTGAAAAGTTTTCTTTTTGAGGGGAAATTAATTTTGTGACAGCACTTCAAAAAAAATTATACAGGGTTGATTGTGCTAGGGAGCACGGAACGTGTCCCGCACAAACCACACTCGGTGTGTCGTTGGTGCAAGATTTTTCAATCTTATTGTCAATTCTAATGTGGAACGTTGTTTGGCTAGGTGTTCAACATTTCGTGAAGCCCAAAAATGAAGCCAGGATAAAAGCGTGGCTGCTAGGCTCGACACTGATTGGTTTTGAGTGGAAGGAGGGAAGAGACCCTCGCAGTAAAAAAGTGTTTGTGCCAGTTGGGAATCAAGCCCAGACCACTTAGATTATAAAGCGAGTTCCTTTCCAGCATGTCACTACACACCGCTGTGAGTTGAGGTGCTATTTGGCGGGAAAGCCCCATGGGGCATCCGCTCTGCGTCCGGCAGAAAGCAACTTGACACCGTGCGACACATTTTTTAAAACTTGGGTTAGCGCCGGTATCTCCATTCCAGGAATTTCTGTTCGCGACTCCAGTGAAATCGACGCCGCTTAGCAGCAACGCTGAGAAGCTCAGGAGAGAAGGTTGTTTCGACTCTGTCGTCTGCTATCACTGCTTGGTTCTTGTAGGCAGCATAGAAACAAACATTGTTTCCAGTAATTATTTTTATGCTTCCGCTGTGTCGTTCCTACGCACTGGGTAGAAGAAGGTTTCTGTCGTCAAAAAATCTCTTTGCTTTCATATGCAACACCGATTTTACGCTGCAGTGCAAAAGATTTATGGTGGTCCGCTTGCTGAACGACGAAAACGACCTCCTTTCGTCTGCCATTTTGCCTGACTAGTGCACCCCCTATAGTTTGTTGGAGTCGCGAATAGAGTGTGCATGCCACGCATTAAGCCAGTCGCTAAACTAACCAATGAAGGACGTTAAGAGCGTAGACGCAACATGTTTCACGTGCAACACAATTGTCCGACAATTTACTATTAATTTTTTTTTATTATTATTATTTATTCTAATGCGAGAGTGTTAAGGAGCTTGTGTCGCAGAAAGCCGGCAAGACGGGAAAATTCTGATTGGTAGTTAGGGTCATGACGTCATATTCACATGACCTCTCACGGGAATTTCATACAACCCACAACGCTGACATGAAACGTGACATCACGTGTGGAATGAAAGTGATTGAAACATGACATGTAAAGCGAATTGGAGGTTGTTGCATGTCTCAAATGATTTTACTTTATAAGAAAAAGTTACTGAAAAGGAAAAATGTTTTTTTTAGACAATCTAGTTGGGACATGCACGTAAAAAATTAATTTTAGGCAAAAAAAAAAAAAATTTTAGAGCAATATTGGTGGCGCGAGACGCGATTTAGTCGGTAATCACCTTCTTTCCACTTGTTTTCTCTCTGCATTTCTGGTGCGTGGAGGAGAGGTGGATTGGCTTCGCGTTCACGTTGAGGTGAATAGAATGAATGACCATCTCGTTGTGGTCGAAAGAGCAAATGACCATTCTGTGACGTCATGGACTTTGCGCACAGAATTTCAAATAAATCTATCACCGTCAATATTGCTCTAAAATTTTTTTTTTTTGTGTGTAAAATTTATTTTTTGATTCAAGTGTCCCAACCAGACTGTAGGAATGCAAAAGCACTCCTACATGCAGTGCATTCCTACAAACAGCGCGCCACGTCTTCCTTTTCACACGACACTCCGGCGGTGACATTACGCCCTCCCCCACTGCGCGGACGCGGCAAACCCCGCCGGCTTCACGACTGCTTCTGTGACGAAGCATCTGCGTTGCTGTGCTTTTTTTGTGGGTTTTATTTCTGAGGCACGTCCGCTTTGACCTTGAGTGCCCCTGCCAGCTTTCGTGACGAAGCATCTGTGTTGCTGTGCTTTTCTTTGTGTTTTATTTCTGAGGCACGTGCTTGATGATGTATTGGTGTGACCATCTTTCGGGCACAACGCCTCCGTTTTTTTGCGTAATGGGACATTTGGTAAGGTGAGGAAATTAAAAGAATGAAAAAATATATCATCCTCAATCGGTACCGCCTGTATAGGTACACCCGATTTAAAGCCAATTCGGTATAAATTAATTGGATCCTTAGATTAAAAGTGAATTACATATAAAAAGCCAATTGGGAACTAAGCTATTGAAAAAATAAAACTGGGCCTCGCCAAAAGAACGACCCGGGAAAGAATGACAGAGAGAGAGGGCCGCACAGATCCCGAACCCCGCCTAAACCCGCAAAAGGGCATGAATGTGCAACACAGTGGGTTCGACCTGACCGCGAGGCAACTATGAACCAAGCGGCCCCGCCGCTTGCTTGGTTTATGGTTGTTCATGGTATAAAGTTCGAGCGCTCGAACTTTATAAACTTCATTTATAATCTTAACGTCTGTAATGCTGCCAGCTTGTTGCTCATTTGTAACAATTTTCTCATTTAAAATGCCTCATAAAACACATTCTACAATAAAACTGTTTGGGAGTTCAGTGTCTTTTTAGAGAGCGGTTAACGTGCGGTCATTTCGGGAAACAGAGTTTTACCCCTAACACATGGAGCCCCCCTTGGTTGGCGTGAAGTGGCGTAGGGGTTGGCAGTTCACGAAGAAACCCTGGCAAGAGCTCTAGTGCAGGCTGTTCCAGGCCGGAGTTTTAAGCTTTGTGCCTGTGTTTCAGGGTGGTGCTTGTTCTCCTGATCAACATGACGCTGCTCTACAAGCTCTGGGTCCCTGGGGATCGGCCATTCTTCAGGGGCGTGGACATCCTTGTGCTCGAGTGAGCCACCTTGAAACCTCTTTGACATCAACGCTATCTGTCGATGACAACCCATGCTACCATTCAAAAGATTGAGATATAATTGTTGTCACTAAGAGGGAAGGAATTCACTTCAGAGTGATATCGATTGGCCCAGGTTTCACTGTACTTTATTCACCCCTAAGCTGACTGTGCTGTGAATGCTATGCGCTCGTTGAACTAGTCGTGTGTCTGTCTTCCGCCACGTGCATGACGTTATTCCCATACCACTGTGCAGAGAGCAGGGCCAAGCAATGAAGGAGAGGTGGCCGATCGGTCCAGCGAGCTCCTAGCTCCCACCGGACTGTTAGCTTGTGGGTGACCAGAGTATAGACCTTGCTAAATTCATTCTTCGCCCAGGACAATTACCCTCCCTGCCGAGTTATTTTCACACTGGGTCTTTAGTAGCACTTTATCCTCTGCTGAGAGTGGCTGTTGATCTGCACCCTTAGTGGTGTCGTGCTGTCTCACATTTCTGGTTTGAAGTTCCATTTTGTATGTTAGTAACACCTGTGATGAATGTGATTTGTCTCGGTGTATTCGCTCCTGCTTGGGCTCTTTTGGTCTGCAGTATATCGTCAATAAGTAAATTAAATAAATAAAATAAGAACTTGCCAGAAACAGTTATGCAATATGAAGTTCCAGGCAAAATCTATTTGGAACTTTTGTTGTTGTAGTAGGTTTTATCTAAACGTCTCTTTATTCAAAACTTGTGCGTGCTTGTGTCATCTTCACCAGCACTACTCACGTCCCCAGTGCCTCTATCTTCTACTGGCTGTTGACAATATTTTTGTCGTTGTTGCTGTACTGCTTGTTTCCCCTGCTGACTCGCATCTGAATTGTTTATTTCACAAATTTTGGCCCTTTTTTTTTCATTTTCCAGCAGTGGTTTAGCAAAGTCTGTAGTCATATTCAGATACAACAGAAGAGCACATCTCTGAGTTTCTTTTAAACTAATTTCTTCTCAGGGCCCCTCAGCCTGCCTTTATTGGAGGGATTTTCAGAACTGGATAGCTTCAGCATATCTGTAATATAGAAATCATCACACACCAAGTTTTGCGCATTGACCACCAAAAACAGAAATAATTATTACTGACACGTTGACGCACGCTTGACTGAGCACGAGAAAAATTGCCATAGGCTTCCGTTTCAGAACCCGCCAGCTCCGCAGCTACTGAGACTCGGGTGGTTGGTAAACCCTCGTTCGAAGCGTCATTTCCTCAACGTTTGAAGCATTTTATGTTTTTTTTTATTTGCGTAAAGGAGGGACATGACCGTAATATATGCATAGCAGTACCGACCAAGTTGCCTAACCCAAAGAGATGAGCAAAAGACACCTCCCAGCGTATGGCCAGGGGGCTGAGGCGTGCGTGTGGGGTGCAGGCCCGTGCCCACCAACCAGGAGGAGTGGGTGAGACTGCTTTCCAAGCGGGAGTCCCTGCGGCGCCTCGAAGCGGACACCTGGGGACGTACTGTCGAGGACCTGTTGCAGACGGTGCGCTCGGTGAGTCCGGCAACCCAAACCCATTTGCGCACGAAGAATTGCTTTGGGAGAGGCTTTTTTGGGCATGGTCTCAACAGGGCCACTCGCACCGTTGGCGAAGAGAATGAATTGTTGCGGGCGCTTTGTGTGGCTTGTTTTACGGCCATAGCCGTTATGGGCTCTTCCCACCAGTGTTGTTGTTGATGTTGTAGTTGGCATTGTAGGGCGTCCGTCGCCGATGCTGCCGAATCCCCAAAAAAGATCACCCGCCGCCCGCGAAAATCGAACCTGGCTCTGCCACCTGCAAAGCAGAGGCATTGCCAACCGAGCTACATCACGGCGCTAACGAGCCATTCTATATTGAGGGTTTTTGTGGCACTCAATGCCCACAGCACGCACTCTTGGGAACGAAAAAAAATAGCCGATAACAAATTGCCGTTGTAGCACCATCAGTGGCAAGAGCTTGTGCCGGGAGACGGGCTTTTGTGCTCCAGAGCCAAAAAGGAAACAACCGCATTCGGAACAAAACGAAACAAGACAAAAGCAGTCGGGATAAGAGGGACCTCTATTTTGTTCCAAACGCTTTCGTTTGCACACCCCACAATGCATGACTACGACGGCGATGCCGAATGAGTTCGTTGTGAACAAAGGAATGCTAAATTTTCTCCACAAAGTAAAGATGGGTGAGGATTCAGTTGTTGCAAATAGGCCATTGAATTCTGTTCTGTTCGGCATTCGCTTCGATTCGAATTTAGGTATTCGGCGATATCGACTTATTCTGCCTTCCCAAATACTCCTTGAATTTCTGTGCGGGTGGCACAAGGTCCCGACCACTCCGTCTAGTACACTGAATTCATGCTTCCACACTTGGTACACATTTGCCAACTCATCACCAGCGACATCACTTCTGTGGACTTCAGCGACCCCGCCAAAATATGGTCAAAATAGCGTCAATGGCGTGCTCGACTGGCTCGACATCAACGCAACTGTTGAATCTCTTCCCCAATATCGTTGACACCCTGCAATGTGGGAAAGAAAAGAACAGACAAGACATCACATTGTCTGGGAAGCAGCAGGTTGTTTCTTAAGCTTAACAGATTTGTTTAAAAAAAGCCGTGAAAGCTACTCTAATGCGGTTTGTGCAGGTGAGTTATACGGCAAGGGGGACATAATGTAAGAGGCTAATCATCACAGTAAGTAGAATAATTAACTAAAGTTTCTTAATTACCTTTCTAAAAAGTGAAAAAAGTCTGTTGCTTTCCAATAAAGTTCAGTTGAGAGTCAGGGCTCTGTCTGTCTATGTCTCCTATTGTCCTTTGTCTTGTTCGCGCTGTTCTTAATGCGAAAGAATTAACTGGTCCCATGGACCGAACCGACATCATCAGCTTTTGAAGACGTGCCAAATGGCACCTTTCTCTGTCCCAATAAAGCAAAGCCTGTTGTCTGTAGCAGAAATCTGATGGATAGGCTCCCATTGGCTCTCAGTCAGTCTGACCATGCAGAGCTTGCACGGTCAGACTCCTGAGAGGCTGCACAGCTGAGCTCAGCGCGGCACGGCCACTACACGAGAGCGCACGCTCGGTCGTCGGCTGCTACCTCGGCAGTAGCGAAACATGGCCGTTTATACCACTACGCTGCAGACAAACTAAGGGAGCGGAAGAACGACATTCATGCTTTCGCATCCACAACTCGCAAGAACTGCTTAGGTGTCCTCAGAATTTCTTGATCTTCGATACAAATGGTTCCAATTAGAAACTTGATGAGCATCATCGAAAACCACTTAATCAGTAATTTTTAGAAAGACTTTGAGCGTGAGGGAGGTGCGGTAGTGCACTATACCACCCGTGCAACAGGCACAAGGCGGGGGCTGTAATAAGAGATGAGGAAACTGCCCAGATGCGTTTCCGCATTGGTAGCCTTTCTACTGCTGCACGAGTGGTAACTTTAGCGCTCCATTGTGCTTCCCACGTGCTCCAAGCCTTTCTAATAGACTGCTTTAGTGGTTTTCGATGACGCACGGCAAGTTTCTAATCCGAAGCATACGTTTATTTTCAATAATTAAAATGTTATCTAACATATTTTAGTTAACTAGCCTACTGATTGTTGCAATTAACCCCCTATACTATGTCCCCCTAGCCATATAACTCACCTGCACAAACTGCATTGGTGTAGCTTTCATATCTTTTTTTAAGCAAATCTGTTTAGTTAAAGAGAAACACCCTCTAGACACAAACTCAGCTCTGTTACGTCACGCCGCGGTGGTCGCGCTTCGGGCACACTTCTGGTCTGGGGCTGTGGGCAGAAGTCACCATGCGGGACATGCATTCCTGTGTTGTTTGGAAAAAACGAGACAAATACTTGTCTTCTCGTTAAAACGCCACAACTGAGGCTGTACCAGAAGAGTTGGGAAAGGTTTGAAGATCAATTTTCGTGTGTTTTCTGCCTGCTCGGTTCGTCTGAAAACGTGGATAGTTGCTGTGAAAAGGGAAAACCAATGGCCGTCGAACCATGATTGCTTGTGCGGGAAGCACTTTGGGTTGGATTCCTGGATTCTTGGGGTCGTCAAATCTATTTGTTTTGTTCCAACATGAAAGCGGGAAAACCGCCAAGTTATCCGGACCACTCACGGACTACATTCGGTGCGTTTTCAAGTTGAAACGGCCGCCTGATCTTTCGAACTGTCATCTGCCCTTTCAAACTTGTCTGCTTGTTGTCTGCTCGTTCAAATGACAGCGGCCAAAGTGGATGCCACCGGCGTCGCGCATGCGTGAGGGAGTGTGGGCAAGAAGCTCGTCGTCGCCCATAAACAAACCACTGAAATGCGATGCTGTCGGCATCAGTGCAAGTCTCTGTGCTCTTTTTCATGTTGGAATTGTAGATTCAACGTCTTCCTGGCAATGTCTGACTACTTGAGCGGCCTCAGCGAAATTGTCAGGGCTTGTTACACCGCAAAACGTTGCGTGAATACAGTCAAACTCGGATATATCAAACTCGCCAAAAAATGGGAATTTGTTCGATATATTGTGTAATTCGATATAACAGTTTTAATGAATTTGACTCTCAAAAACCCACTTTCTGGTGACATATTACACAATGATATAGTCTTGCATTTCCTGCTGTTTTTGTCTTAAACAGTCGCAGTTTATGTTTCGTGGACAAATTTATCACCAGATTGAAGGATGTCCAATCGGTAGCGCCCAATTTCTGTTACAATGGCAAACCTTGTTATGGAGTATATGGAGGAAACTGTCCTTGAACATAATGGGCACCCAATAGGGTTTTACAAACGTCATGTGGACGACGCCTTTGGAATTTTAAACAAGGACCATGTTGCTGACTTTCATTTAGCTTTAAACAGCGTTGAACCATCAATCCGATTCACACATGAAGTTTAACAGAACTGTGCGCTGCCTTTTCTGGATGTTAATGTGTTTTAAAATAGTACCGGTCGCTTAGATACAACAGTGTACTGAAAAGCTTGTGATACAGGCAACCTCTTAAACTTCAACTCACATCGTTCGGTCGAACATAAAAAGGCTCTTGTAAAAACCCTCCTACATCGGTCCAACGCATTTCTTCTAATCCTCAATTGCGCGCATCAGAGGATGCTGTTATTGTTGACCTGTTGATGAAGCGGAATTATCCGAAACGTTTTATTAATAACATGTGCAAGCAGATGGGACAAAGAAGAAGTCAGGATAATGGAAGACCCAAGACGGGGGGAGGCACTCACTTGATCGAATGACATTTTAGCGAACGCCCACGTTTTACCGAATGACACTTTAGCGAATAGTCGGACGCCGCGAGGCGGCGTTTTCGGGTGGGCCAAATCGGTTCACATTTTTGTAACGAGTTGCCGCAGACTGTCGCCGCGAAGCGGCGTAAAGCGCAGCGCGGCGGGTGGGTTAACGCGCGCCCCCGTTATTCGCTAAAACGTTAATTCGCTCAAACGTCGCTGTTCGCTAAAATATCATTCGCTCATGTGATATGGACCCCAGGCCGGAGGCGCTGCACCCGCCTAAACGAACATGAAAGGGACGTGGCGAAAACCATGCATGCTGCAAGGGTGAAGACGGAACTCGTAGACAACTGTTGGAATACGGGTCACAGTTTCGACTTGGAGAATGCGTCCACTCCGGCACGTGAGCAAAGGTGCGGTCCACGCAGGTTCGTGGAATCATCGTTCATCCGAAGTGACTCATCGACTTGCAACTCCAACCGCGGCCCCCTCCCCGATGTGTATGCGGACTTGCTTAAATAGGACTGTTGAAGTTTTTTCGCTCATTAATGCTTGAAGGTTTCACTGATGATGTTTCCCGCATGGGAAACGAAACGTTTGATTAAATTGTTTATCCTGTTATGCAAAGTCGGCGCAGCTTTTTTTTTTTTATATTATCATTGCATTTGCGATAACTATATTTTTCTACGCTATCGACGGACTCGTAAAATGCTGAGGCCGCTGCCTTCTATATCCGCGCATTAGCGCCGAACTATGCCGAGAGCACCGAGTACGTCCGAGCTGGAGCACCTTCTCCTGCAGAGCGCCGTTTTGCTCTGCAAAACCCCCTAAGACAGGCAGCGGCTGCGTTGGGGGAAAGCCAGCTAGCAGAGCAAGCTGACTTTTTTTTTCTTCTTCGGAGCGGTCGACACAGCCGCCCGGAAAAAAGCCAACGTGCTCTGCAAGCTGGCTTTCCCCTAATGCGAACGCGTGCGTTAGGGGAAAGCCAGCTTGCAGAGCAAAACGGCGGTCTTGGCAGTTCGATATATCGGTAGCGGCTGCTATTTTTCTTCGATGTAACTGTAGTTTTTGGTATATATTATCACTGTAACATAACTGTGCACAAAAATTCTTCGATATAAGGGACAATTCGATGTAAATGGGTTCGATATAGCCGGGTTTGACTGTAATGTGACATGGGGCAATTCATTCTGTGTGGACGCCGCAAAATGCTAAAGCCTGATTCGCATGATGAGATTCCACCCGCAATTTTCAGTTTCAATGTCGCTCAGGCTGCAAAAGCACGAACCGTAGCTGAGATGGTCGGTGTCTATACTGAAAATCGCTTGCAGAATCAGACCAAGTGAATCAGGCATAACAAGTCGGTAATGGCATAAAAAGTTGGTGATGGCCACTGGTAACAATGATCAACATCTCCTTGTACCTACTGTTTACCCCTACCAACCTTCAAACTTAAGTCTTTTGAGACCTGCACTTCTTATCGCAATCACCTGGTTGACGTTTGGTCTACAGGCCAGTGTCATCTGAAAGAGCAGACGACAAGCAGAAACGTTTGAAAGAGCAGATGACAGTTCAAACGATCAGGTATCCGTTTGAACTTGAAGACGCACTGAGCGTAATCCACAGGTGGTCCACACAACTTGACGGTTTTCCCGCTTTCATGTTGGAACAAAATAAATAAATCTGATGACCACAAGTATCCGTGAATTCAACCCAAAGTGCTTTCCGCCCAAGCAATCGTTGTCCGACGGCATCTGGTTTTTCCTTTTCATGGCACATATCCACGTTCTCGGAGGAACCAAGCACATGAAAACTGACCTTAAAACCTTTCTCGATTCTTTTGGTAGAGCCCCAGTCGTGGCATTTTGACGAGAAGGCAGGTTTTTGTCTGGTTTCTTTCAAAACAACACAGGAATGCACGTCTCGCATGGGGACTTCCACCCACAGCCCCAGACCGGACGTGCGCTCGACATGCCACCATTGTGTCGTGACGTAACAGAGTTGAGTTTCTGTATACCAAAGACTTGCTCAGTTAGCATTCTAGTGCAGTACAAGACCTTTGTTGGTGCATGTCTTTCTCTTCTTTTTTTTCTTAGTGAATAGGCATTTGTGGCAGTTCTCTGTTGAATAAACCTGGCTGTATTTGAGACTTTATGTTTCATTGGTCATTCTTTTCTGTTCCCATCTCAAAGTTTAACTGGTGTCATTTCAAAACCAGCTTGCCTACACACTTGCTTACGCTACTGTACAATATTTTTATATACTTTTGATTGTCGGAAGAATCCAGGATGAGCATTTCTAAACCATGGTGTGTAACACATATGGTTCTTTTGCACTAAAGCTCTGAAATCATTTGGATGAATTGGTGTCTCTGTCTTCTGAGCCGTAATTTTCCTTTGACGATGGGTGTAGTGGTCACCTTCTCCTGGTAAAATTTCTGACCAACATGCGGTGTAATGGATTATTACAGTCAGCTTGTCCGAATTAACTATCACATCGCCGGTTCTGATTAGGTAATATATTATGCCCCAAGGGGAATATATCTGCAATGTGAGGTTGTTATGGAAAAATAACTGTCATAAAGTTAAGTCCTCAATAAGGAGTCAAAGATGATAGACACACTTTAATTGTGATTTTTTCTTTGATGCAAATTGAACTGAATAGCAGTTAATTGCCTATCAGTGCACTTGGGAAGAAAATCTGAAGACCACTAGCAGAGTCTCGGCTAATTTACCGAGACGTCTTGTGTTGGAAAGTACACTATAGTGCGTTGCAATTCAAGAAGGTAGGGTAAAGGTAAGGATGGCCGGGGAGGAGGAAGCAGACGGAACGCTTAAGAGAGAAAGAGGTTTCCCCGTCTCTTCTCCAGTGCTCCGTCTGCTTCCTCCTCCCCGGCCAGTCTTACCCTCGCCCTACCTTCTTCAGTAGCAACAGAGTATAGTTCATTAGTTGCCCTACTTTGCGAGAAGTAGGTATGTGTGCTTTTTGAGGTTAAAACACTAGAAAAATAGATATATTTAGCTCCCATTTGTTTTGTTTCTTTGTGTCCTAAATAATGTAACAAACTAGAGCCTTCTGTGGGTGCTTTTGGAGGCCCCAGCATCTGCACACCTCGCAAGTGCTTGCTTTTGGTTTGAGGCCAATGTTGCCCGTGTACTGCAGGCGGAACGCTCGCTGCTGGAACTGAAGAAGAGCCTACAGGCACGCAGCTTGTCGGAGTTCCCGGGTCAGCCGCCGCCAGCGGACACCGCACCCAAGTCACAGGTGGCCGCCACCGGGGAGTTATGACCACAACATTCCAAAACCATCTAGTCACCCCAATCACTGCCCTTGCAGGGCCAAAAGAAGATCGTCCCCACCGAATTGTTATCAGTGTGCGCCTCCTGATCCCGGTGCATCACTCTATTCTCTCTAGAGAAGTCTGGATTAAGTATTTCTTTTGTACGTCAATTCAGCGGATTAGCGTGGCTGCCAGTTGTGAGGCACCTTGCATTCCCGCATCGGTGAAGCACCCTGCCGATGTCCCTCCACCTTCCGTGTTGCCGCGGTGTTCTGTGCCGTTGTTGCAGCATAGAAGAAGCAGTCCCAGCGTTCCGCTGTGGTTCACCGGAGGGCTTATCCAGCCGTCGCCTTTTTTGTCGGCTTTTCGAAGGTGTCCACGGTCGTTTTACTAGCCCTCATATTCTCCAAACTCATAAATTTTTTTTTTTTTTATTAAAAAAATGGCTGGCGTTTACTTTAATCACAAAGTTCTGATTTTCTCACGCTAGAGCATAGAGGACTTTACTGGGTATTTTCGGTCTGAATATCTCTCCATATTTTTTTCCGATCATCCACATATACATCAACCACTCATGCTTTGTTTACTGGTGTTTTGGTGTTGATTTTTGATGCTATTTTTTTGTTGTTGTTGAATTTAGTTATCTGCTGAAGCCAAAACCCATGTGTTACATTTCTCGTTTAAATGGTGTCTTGGTGCTGTGTGAGGTGTGTTGTTGCCCAGTGATTTGCAGAGCTAAGCCATTTATTCTTGTACACTTGGCCATTGAGATCAATGATATCTACTGTCTTGATATCTTTGCACGTCTGTCATTCAAATAGTAGGAAATATATCTGAGCTATTTCAGGATCTACTAGAGCTCTCTAATATATATATTTATGAGGATGGAGTATTTTGATTTCCCTCCACCATGTACAGGAGTGTGTTACCGCAGGACTCATTTACCACTTGCTGGTGCAGGCGCAGTTGTATATTTGCACTATATGCGTCACGCAACGTGTGGGTCATTATTCTAAAGGTACCTCCTGCTGGGACAACACAAACTCTTTAGCAAAGCCTCTTTTATCATAGGGGTGATAGGAAACAGAGCTTTCAAGTACTGTGACATCTGGTTCAATCTAGTCTTGAATTGTTATAGTGGTGGTCGATAAAAGCAGGCCCTAATTTTTGAAAGATTGAATGTCAGATATACTATAATAGTAATATTTATGACCTTGCATCTAGGTGTGTGTGTCTGGTTGTGTGGGCAAAAGCTTTATTTCTTTGTCTTCACAGGCAGCTTGAGATAGTCAGTTTTTGTTCCAGCGCTGCACCCAGATTTTAGTGCCAGTTTGCGGCATCAACTAGCAGTGGCATAGCCAGGAATTTTTTTCGGAAGGGGAAAGAGGGGGGTGGGGGTGCTGAGGTGGCTGGGATGTCCATGACTTGGGGTGTGGAAAAGGGGAGGGGCGTTCATGTAAGGGGTCAAAATGCATGTGTATATTATAGGGTCGGCTGGATTTCTGGGACTGAAGCCCCATAAGCCTCCCCCCTGGCTACGCCACTGCCAACTAGTATCTTATCGATGGATGTGTGCACTCTCTCCAGAATGAATGCCACTGGCACCTGTGGTAGCAGCCAGTTCACTGTGCTCAGAACATGTGGCCATTTGAGCTGCTGTCTTCCAGACATGTGCCGAAAATTCTCAGTGTTTCATTTCAGTGTCGGTTTCAAGCTAGGTCTTGGTGACCATGAACTTGTGCCCCCTGTCAGCTGGTCTGACAGGTGATTTTTTTTTTGCTTGTAAAGTCAGCGACGTGACACTGTATGACGCCAGTTGTGTGTCGCAACACTGTGTGGCGCCAGTTGTATGTCGCAAGTTTGGCTCTTGTCAAGCACGGCTTGTAGAGTTAGACAATGTCTAGCCTGCATCCATCCACTTAGAGCGTGCACCCCTTGTGGAATCTTATTGTGTGCTATCCACCAACACGAGAATATATAGATTATTCTGCATGTCATTCCTGTATTGGCTAAGGTTGAATGAGAGGGGGAGGGGAAAAAAACCTTCAAAGTAATTGATTAGTGCAGCTGTGAAGCCAGTTGGGTTGCTCGTTCTCTGGGACAAAACCTTCATGGGCAATAAACTATTTTTGGCAAGACATGAAAGTGACACTGAAGTGTGGTTTACTCACTTGTGGGCCGCGACGGCAAGTCCACAAGAAAATTTCGGACGACAGCAAGGAGGTTGTCTATGATAATGAAAATCAAGGCTACCGTAAAATCCCGAAAGATAGCCCACCTATAGTAATTGCAGAACCTTGGCCAATGGTGACCTCAGCAGAAATGGTGTTACTTAGCCACAGCGGGAGAACCGCCCCAGGTGCCGTTGATTCTATTATAGTGACGCCACTGTACCAGGGAGACAGATTTATGTTAAGGCGTCCACAATCTGGCGAAAATTTGTTGCTGCGCGGTCACTGCATCAGACCTCAATAATTGCACTTACAACCATGGTCTGTCACACCTTGCCCGCACCGCAACACATATTTATCAAATTGTGGGCACCTTGGCCAGAACTTAAACCTGTCACCCGGGTGATCTATATACTAGAACTTTGCTCCTTTGTGCCTTGTCTGGTTGCCAAGATGGAAATGAATTCTTAGTTCTTCATTGGGCCATGCCAAAAAGCACTTCATGTAGAACTTGTGCTTAAAAATGGATTTTGAACTAGTTTGAAGAGACAAGATTAGTTATAGGTTGGGTTCCGCGTTTTCAGTTTTTATTTTTTCAAAATTCGGCATACTTTTTTCGGTTATTTTCGGTGAATATGCAAGAAACACCATCGGACACCGGATCAGATGATCCTTGTAGCTCTGATATTTGTGATCACACGAAAAATAACGGCACGGATACATTGAAAAAAAAAAAAAAAAAGTCAACACTTTATTTGGGAAATCTGTGCAACTGTAAAAAAAAGCAAAGAAAATAAATAAACAAGTAAAAACAAGTTGGATATGAAGCCTATGCCGAAAAAACATGAAACTTCGGCTTCCATGCATCAATATTACATGATCTTATTATAGTAAACACACATGTACTATCGCGGACAATATGAGCTGAAACAGCGCTCCGGCATGTGCACGGTACTATCTGCGCCGCCTGTTGCATCGCTCCTTAAACACTAACAGCTGACATGCAATTCAGTGCATTTCAAGAAAGCGCCGAAGTGGAAAATGCGCTGTCACGCTCGTATCTCCTCGAGGAGCGCTGCCTGACGAAGCTGCCTTGGCCCCTAAAAGGAGCCGATCTGAATATCATCGAAAACATTTGGAGGCGCATCAATGTAGCGATGTCACGGCGCCTCCTCCACCGCGCCACTGCCTACAAATTGTGGAGGGCAATGGGAGGTGAATGGGAGTGGCTTCGAGGCTGAGCCAGACTTCATGGCCGCGCTCTATGATTTCTTACCAGACAGGATGAGAGCCATGGTCCCGGGTCAGGGGAGAATGACGCGGTATTAAATTATTTTGCAAGTTTTACTGCGCCTCAGGGCCCCCTGAACTGGACTTTTGCCGATTGGAACAAAGCTTGATGTTACGGTTGCGACACACTGTTTGACGCCGTTAACCACGCATACTTTTGAGGGGTGCCTCCATCCCGATCTTCTTGTATATTGAAGTTGAACTTCCACGCCGACAATTAATCTTTTGTGTCTGACAATGTCCTCTGCAATATTCCTTCGATTAAGTTTCAATCTCCTTCTCTTGACAAATATATGACTGTTTGTCCCACCTTATTAAGACTAGGCAGGGCCGTAACCAGGGGGGGGGGGGGGGGGGGGGGGGTTAGGGGGCTCTGACCCCCCCCCCCCCCCGAATTTTTTTTCTGGGTACGGCCCTGGTCGGTGCACTGGCAGCCAGCCGATTTTAATCTCCACCTCTGCGCACGCGCAGTTGCGCCGGTCGGCTAGCTACCGGGTACCAAACCGGGACCGGGTCTCCGGTTTGCTGTAACTCTCCATTATATGCCACCGATGCACATGATTCATAGGCGAAAATAAGACAATAGACACTTTCAAAATGGCCGCCGTTGTCCCCGAAACCCCCCCCCCCCCCCCCCCCCCAAAAATTTTTTTCTGGGTACGGCCCTGAGACTAGGAATTTGTAAACAAAAAGCTGGTGTCTTGTCAGCAACTTGTTTTGCTTGAAACAAACACGTGGGCCCAGTAATAAATAAATAATATTTTTGAACCTTTTCATACTAATAGAGGTTACAAAACATTCCCAGTAAGATGTATGCTTATCGTTTTTTGAACATCTGTGATCAGTGAAACAGAAAAAAAAAAAAAAAAAAAAACATTGGAGCCGGCCTAAATCCGGCATACCATGGCCCACTTTGCGCATCCAGGGGGGTAAAGGTGGGTGAGGAGGAGTGGCAAATCCCGTGCGCCGACACCCGGGTACAGTGACCGGGGTCCCGAGTGAAAGATCGCGAAAGAGAGGGACAGAACACGAGAGAAAGAAAGCAACGTTGCCAGCTGAAGGACGGCGTTATGTAAGGATAGGCACCGGACATCTACTCCACAAATGGGCAAACGGATGCAAATGCGTGCGCGAACGTAAACAACGGTAGAAAAGTGCCGCTGCTCGCCATTATGAGATGCGTGCCGCAAACTCGGTCATCCGGGGGTGTATCCCTCTCCTCCCGCTCGTACTTTCTCTAACTTGACGGACACTCTGTCTCGCGGTTCATGCCGACGAAACGATCGTCGGGATATTGGGTAATTGCTCTTTTGTGGTTTGTGGTTGTACGGTTTGTGCGAGAGTGATACGCCCAGGGGGACGTTATGTAGTTTGCTAATCTTTGCGATAAGTCGGCTAATTAATTAAAATTCAATAATTAACTTTTAATTAGTGAAAATAGACATATGGCTTCAATTAGAAACTTGCTGAGCGTCGTCCAAAACCCCTAAACCAGTAATTTTTAGAAAGACTGAGCGCGTGGGATGCGCAGTTGTGCGCTGAAGTTACCACTCGTGGACCAGGTACAAGGCTGGGGCTAGATAAGAGACAGAAAAATTGCACGGGCGCCTTACCGAAACCGCTAGCCTTGTACCTGCTCCACGAGTGGTAACTTTAGTGCACTACTACGCTTCTCACGCGCTGAAAGTCTTTCTAAAAATGACTGATTTAGGGATTTTGGACGACGCCCCGCTAGCTGCTTATTGGAACCGTATGTCTATTTTCACTAATTGAAAAGTTCATTAGTAAATTTTAATTAATTAGCCGAGTGATCGCAAAGCTTAGCGCCCACGTAATGTCCCCCTGGGTTACAACTCACTCGCAGAAACCGCATAAGTGTAGCTTTTGTGACTTTTTTGAGGAACAAATCTGCAAGAGTAAAGAAAGAAACACACCCTGATATGGGAGGCAGATATACCCCTATTTGGCAGACCCATATATGAGTATATAAAAAATTGGGCAGATCTGGCTATATAAACTGATGTACTTGATATGGCCAGATCTGCTCAATTTTTTTATATTTCCATATTTGTTTTTTTTTTATATAAGTCCAGATCTGCCATTTTTGTAAGGAAGCTATGGACGCATGGAAAACACACACACAACACGTAGGGTGCCTTCATGTGCGCTTTGTTAGGGTGGAGACATCTGGCCATTTTGTTCCCACTTTTACCTTTATTTTTTGTTCAGAAGCGCGTGAAAGAGCGTGTCCCTGCACGTGTCTGTGGCGCTGACTGTGCTATGGCGACATTGTTTTCGTCGATTTTTTTGTATTTTAACGTGAGCGCGTGCTGTCGGCATCGGGTACTACAAAGGGTGGCATCACTCTAAACAAAAGGTCATTGAGGCCAGGGGCGGATCCAGACCTCCATTTTAGGAGGGGCGGTTCCTCGGTGTAAAACGGGGGGGGGGGGTCTTTATATTTTTTGTGGAGTTATCGTTTTTACTAAACTCTGATAACATAATATAGATCTTGAGAGCTTTTGTACTGGTTTACCTGTCGGGGATGAACTCTTTGAATTAAAACCTTTCGGGTGACCACGCTAGAGGTAAGTATCTCGAAAATTGTGGTGGCACTATCCTTTCTGAACACCATAACGCAAGGAATTTTGTAGTTCATAGGAAACGGGATTACTCCATCCGCGTGGCATCGCGCTAGAAATAGAAGAAGTTTAACTACTGGGGGTGAATGTATGGTGCTATAGCGGCTGTGACAATTGCAGACAGTGTAACTTGATGGCTCAGATATCCCCGGTGGGGCTACAACTTTTGGGCTCCTTTTGCTTGAATATTTATATATTCTCGTTACACCCGCAGAGCATGTATGGAGAGCCAACCTTTGCCAACTATATGGAGGAAGCTCATGCAGCTAATGACAATGCGAAAAACGTTTTAATCTAAAACTCGGCTGTTTTTTTAGATTAAGCTTGGCACAATAGTTAGAACTTTATATTCAGTGCCAAAATGCAGAACGTGATTTTAAAACATACTTTTCATTGTCGCCGGTTGCTTCAATGGAGCGAGTACGTTGCAAACAAGCGACAAAAATGGCCCGGCGGCTTCGACGCTGCTCGCGGCGTCAAAACACTGTTGATGCAACGAGCGAAACGAACGCTGCCAGGCAAGTTCGTCGGTTGTTCGCCGTATATTTGGAATGTCCAGAGCGCAGCACATGCGGCATTGCCAATCCAAACTCGTGTTTTCACGTGTTTTGGATGCAACTCAAGAGAACGAAAGCAAATAATTGTTGAATATTTTTGAAAGCATGTTGCAGTTCGGCAACTATAACTTTTAAACTTAGATGGATCCTTCCAGATTATATTCAATTGCACTTCGTCTGGATATTTTCTGTACGAAAGGAACACTTACTTGTTTCTGGGTAGTTAGCTCAGTCGTCGCGGTCGAGAGGACAGGTGCAGAGATATAATGGGGCAGAGCGGTTGTCCCGTCGGCGAATCTCAACTGGGCTAAAGGCCCATCACGACTGCAGCATGGATGTTTGGGAGTCGGTGTTCACTCGAACGGGCATAGGCACTGTCTATTTTTTTTTTAATGTATAGTCTCATCTTTGAAAGGGCTTGTTTTCCCCAAGTCCCTTGTTAGGGAATTCGAAGTCGCAGTTGCAAACCAGCAAGCCCCGCCTCTG